AGTGGCTTATTATATAACCTATAGTTCTTAAGGAATAGTTACAGGTAAAACGATTCTTTAATTAGATTTTTAAGTCTAGTGAATGCAGGTGAAATTGACTTTTAAAAAAACAACTAATAAAATTTCTGTATTCTTTGTTTAGTTGAGGATTATTGAATTATATCATGGATCATGGCGAAGCTTATATTTACAAGTTTATTTAACACTTCCTCTAAGATTTATAAAACACGTATAAAAAATTTAATTGAGATTTAATTGAGGAAAGAAGGGTACATATTGTGCTTATCTCACATTTCTGTTTAGTCAGTTCGATAAGACTTTTTTTTTTTTTACTTTATTTTGCGAAGAAAAATCGGCAAAAACATTAAAATTTTAAGTATATTTAAAATTAATCTAAATAATTTTTCTTTTTAAAGACAATAGATTATTATTTATTAATCGAAGAGAAGTTGGTTGGAATTTTCAGTCAAAAGACAAAGTAAAAATAAATAAATTATATTTATTTTATACCAAAGTTCGGCCAAAGTTTCAGGCCTTGATCACACACCTGAGTGATTCGTCTGAAACCTTTACAGCGAACGCCCTGATGAAGGCCTGAAACTTAGGCCGAAACGTCGGCACGAAGGAAATAAAAATAAATATTACTTTTGCTTTGTATTGTGACTTAACATCCAAACCAACTTCGCTTCAATTATTTACTGCATGCAACCACCAATCCACTATTATTTATTAATATTGAAAATATTTTAATAGACAACTAACTGTGAAAATATGGTACTCGTTAGGAATAGCAAATATTTATTTGCTTGAATGCTAATAATGAAGGTGGCGTTCAGTATCAGTTTCCAATCTGTAGGTCATTATGGAAATGTATTGCATACCACCGTAATTCTCTTGACGGTGTTTTAAGCCTTCAATATTGATTTTTTTTTTTAAGAAGAATATTCCTGCGTAGGTATCTTTTTTGTTCTATAAGCCACATTACAAGCAATAATGAGTTACAAATAATCAATAATGAAACATAAAAATTCTCTCTCCCCTTGTTTTACCAATCTACCACTTGATTTTACCATTCAAAAGCTTCTACTAAGCTTATATAAATAATATAATAATAATAAATAATATATATAAAAAAACCTTAAAATATCCTCAGATTTCGCTCTTCAAGATTCAATTTTTGTTAACAGCCCCTCATTGAACATTAAAATACACTAAGTTATTACTCATATATCCAACCTTTCTTCCCTAGCTTTAACTTCTCACTAAAATAGTCGAATTTATGTATTTCCAGGTTTTTTAAGCCCATTTTTATTTCTAATTTATATAGATGAAGCGGCGACCATCTATGAAAGAAGAACAGAGAGGATGTTCCGGAGGATTAGAAACCTTCATCCAGTGGTGATTCAGCTCTTGTATGTCGATTATCTTGTTCTTGTTGCTGATTCGGTTGAAAAGTACCGACTGCTGTAACTTTTCAACCGAATGGTATGAGGAACTTCAACGAAAAGGGATGGAAATCAATAGCAGCAAAAACTAGGTATTACAAGTAGAAAGTCAGATTGAAGATACAGATGCACACTGCAATGAAGAGGAATTGGAAGTGGACTCGAAAATATCTATCAGAATAAGCAAGGCAAGGCAGACTTCTGCCAGATTGGCTACACTGTTGCAGGAAAGTGAGAGATAGCTAAGCTACCTATATTTAAATCTGTGTACCTGCCAATACTTTTGTAAGGGCTCAAAGCTGGATATTGAAAGGAGAGCAGAATCACAGCTGCTGAAATGAAATTTCTACGAATAACACCCGGAAAGACTAGGAGAGACCGTGTTCGCAACGAGTGAATACGACAGGAACCTGAGGTAGTCCCATTAAAGGAGGTTGTCATTAGGATGGAGGAACATATGGAGCCATTGAAAAAGAGGGACTACGTTCCTGATTTGAGGAGCCTAAGAATACCATATCTGGAATAAATCGATATACCTTGCAGAGTAAGAGGCAAAGATCTTCGTCAGACTAGGAATCTAGCAAGGGACAGAGAGAAGTGGAATTCATGACGATGCACTTAAAGGCACAAAAAGAGAGAAGTGAAAGAAAAATCCAATGTGTATCAACACCAGATACCTTCAGACAAGACTGATTAATTAATTCCGATGAAAGTGATAACGGGAAAATGATTTGCGAATTTGTTGTAATTCAACCTCTTTCACCTGGTTTTCATTATTCGGAAGTATTAAGTGTTATTTTACATATTTTATAAAAAATTCAAAGCTTTGATAAGATCATTTCGTGCCTCTTTTCTCCAATTTGCTTTCTGAAAGTCTATCTAGTTTTTATTGGAACTTCTCTCTTCCCTCTGGCCTCTGTTGAAAGTTGAACCAGGAGAGAAAGGTTCTATCCAATTTAAGAAAGACGTTAAATAGATTCATGAATATCCTAGTAATTTAACTTATATTCACTAAAAATTTATATCTGATAAAACAGACATAACCGTGAAATGCCACTTGTCCATCTCATTAGAGCGGCAATATCCTGAACAAAATTAGAAAAATAGAAAAAAAAGAAAACATTAAACTAATCAGGTCAAATTTGAGGCTATTGATGGATTAGAAAATTGATTAGAAAGTATTATTAGTCCAAGTGATGCCATCTAATCCATCATAGGTTTGTTGGTATACTGGAGATTCTAAAGGTATGTTTACACATTTCAAAAACTATGGGAAACACGAATGGTAAATGGGTTGTTTCTCTAGTCTAGTGTTTTTGTTTATTGTTTGTGCCCGATCAATTTTGCTGTCGTTTTATCAAGAGAAATCAAATGGAGTTTGGGTAAGCGATAGTGTCGCTTTCAGTCATTTGTTTACTGTTTGTGTTGCTTGAGAGATATTGAATTTAATGGTTCCTTGTGCGATATACAGTCAATAACAAAAGTTTCTGGACACTCACGAACTTAACAAATAGAAGTTTGCAAATTCTTACTCGTTGGGTTTGTGACCAGTAAAACAAGTACTTTAATTCATAAATTCTATGACATCATTTAATTAAATTTTTCGTACAAACAACAATAATTACGAAACAATAAAATAAAAACCATGAAAAAAAAAAGGTGACAAAAGTTTTTTGACACTTTCTTTAAATGTCAATAACTAACTCTATATTGATATTAGCAGGGATGCTCATGCGCTTTGCAAAAAAAAATCTTTCGGGCTGAAGCCCCCTCCAAAATTAAATCCTGGATCCGTTAGTGGCTGCAGGTGTTGGACAACTGGCTTTCATTGATTAGAAAAATGGATGCAGTAATGTATTGCAGCATTCTGGAAAATAAATTAATACAAAGTTCGGACAGCTTAGGAATGAATGGTAAGTTCCTTTTCTATCAGGATAATGATCCTAAACACACTAATCTTATGGCACGTACTTGGTACCTTTACAATTGGCCAATCAGTCTCCTCAATCTCTCGACATCAACCTCATTGAGCATCTGTATGATAATTTAAAAGGCAAATCACGAAGAGCCCAATATGCTTCAAGAGGAACTTGAGAAGCGTATTCTCGAAGAATGGTCCAAGATTACCTACTTCTGTGACCGCAAAACTTTTTTAATTGTTTGTTATTATTGTTGTTAATATGAAAAATTGAATGAAATTATGTTACATAACTTATGGATTAAAGTATTAAGTGTTATTAGAAAATTATAAATGTTATCAAGAAATCCCAAGACAAAATATTAAATAATTTCATCAAAAATTCAGGAAATCTTCTAAATACTCCAAGTAAACCGACACCGGCGATGAGTTGTTTTCAAAACTTCCGGGTTACTCACCGAGATCAAAAGTTTCGACATCGCTGTTACAGACCATGCTAAATATTTCCGGTCCACTGAGAAGCTTTTGTTCAGTACTAATAGTGAATTTAGGTTTTAATTTTAGGAGCTTATTTTTTTATTGGAAAATAAGGTTTTTAAAGATAAATAGATGAGAAGCATTGTACTTACATTTAGTAGATGAAGCACCTGCGTTATAATTTAAAAAGGGAACGTATGTAGGGAACATTGTAATAGTTAGAATATTTACAATAAATAACTCATAAAAACAAATATGGAGCAACAAGAAAAAAAAAATTTCTAATTATGGTAATTTCCAAGGGAACTTATATCAGTGAAGCGATGAAAGAGTAGCGCAGAGATTTCCTGGAGCTCTGCTTTTCCCTTCACAGATGTAGAGACAACCCTGATTCGGGGTTCTCTTGGGAGATTTTAAACAGTGTATACAAGTATATCAGAAGATTTCTTTGATTAAGATGTTATTTTATCCATATTCAATTTTTTATCTCTTTTACTTTCATAGTCTCTATGAAAGTAATCAAATTTTCTAATTTGAATTTAAACTTGTATTTATTCAATTTCGTAAAAAAAGTTTCGTTAAATGAAGAATAGCAATTAGGCTTAGATTAAAGTTATAATTAGTCTTCAATGAATTTCACATGATTCTAATGTGTCGTTTGTTTAAATAGCTATGAATTAAAGCCATTTTTAGATTTAAACAAAAATCGACAGAACTTTTAAAAGTGTTTAAAAACAAAAATCTGTAAAGCCTTTACTTGAAAAGATGCAAGGAAAATTTTCTAGTTTCAAAAGAACTGAAAAACTATCGGCAGTAAATATGCCGGTAATACCGGAAGTTTTTGAAACTAAAAGTTTTTTTCCCGTTTCAAACTCGATTTTAATCATTCATATTTTGTTATTTTCTTGCTACAATATCTTGTTCTTCCTCACCCTCGATTAATACCTTTGTGGCTCTGCTAAAAACATAACTATTATGAATCCTTGAACCCATATGTTAAAATAATTAAATTATTTTTCCATATCGTCGGTATCATGATAAAGTAACGAATGTCAGTCTGTTTAACGTTGTAAATTCGTTACTTAAACATGGTACCGGCGATATAATAAATTGACTATGAGTATCCCTTTCTTATAATATAATTTTAAAAATGAGCTTACCATCTTTCGCAGGTGAGTCCGACAAAGCGAAGAGCAATTCTTGGCTCAAGTCAAGAACACAGTCACCTTGAATCATTTTCACTGATTTTAAACATTAATTTCACAGAACATCAATACCATTTCCTCTGCACACTAACTATCGAAACGCCGGCAAAGGAGGCGTTTGTAGATTACGGTGGCCATGTGGAACTGAGAGCAATCGGAAACGTTGCTGTCACAGAGCCCCCCACTCTTCCTTACACACCTATTTTTATTTACATCTCGAGAACCATTATCATCGTAGGCTCTTCAGAAAGTTAAACTGTTTCTCTAAGCGATTGATTAATGATAAAATCATCTAATAGATTAATGATTGATAAAAGGAAACTGTTACAGTGAATTTAAACTAAAACGTTGCAAAAATAAATAAGCCTGGTAACAGTAGAGGATGAGGTGCCGAATGCTCAACGTAACGGTATTCTTCTGAAGTAATGTGGTCAGTATTGTACTCCAATCTCCTGATTCACTCTCTCGACAATCTTTTATACCAGAAATTGAAACTAAAAAAAAAAAAATTAATTTTTATTAGAACTTTTTCTCTTAATACTTTTCAAGTAAAGGTTTCACAGAACATTTATTTAAAAGTTATGCCGATTTCACTAAAAAATCTATTTAAAAAATTACTTTTATTCATAGCTACTCAAACAAACGAAACATTAAAATCATGTATAACTCATTTAAGACAAACTATAACTCTAATCTAAGACAAATTACTCTTTTTGTTAAACGTTTACCATAAATCTGCAACTTTATTACAAAAATCTGGTGCGGTGCGCCCATCACACAACTCTTACTTACCACCCTCTTCTTAGCAGGAATAAGTATTTTCAGACAAAGGGGAAGTGAAAGTTAAAATCACTTTATATTGATTTATATTTCATTGTGGATATTTTTATTTGTTCAAGTATTGTATTATACATACAAATTTTAATATTTATATCGCTGTAATCTAAACAATTAAATATTAAACAACACCAACGAAAACATTTAAGAAAACCGCATATGTATATGTACATAATATTGATGTAGTCCGTATTATATTAAACTCATGTTACTATTGAAGTCTGTACTAATCTTCGGGCGAGCTCTCGTATCCCTTTGGTTCCTTCATTACAACTATTATCCTTTACAACTTATTACAAAATTTCTCATTTAGTTAATCATAAAATTAATTCATATTTTATATTTCACTATTTTTTATATTAGAAATCAATGTGAAATGGTTAATTGTTTCAAATAAAAAAAAGTAAAGGTACTCTATAGGAAGCTAATATTGAAAATTAGCCATGTAAGCCCTGTTAGAGAATATCAATGAGAATAAAACTCACATAATATTTAAAACTGCTTAATTTTACACTGATATTATGAATTTAATCAAAATCGTTAGAGCTGTTTTCGAGAATAGTAAAAATGTGTTTCATAGATGATATAAAATGAAACTTCCAGTTAGCCGATTTTGACGAAAAAGTTGCTGTAGCATCTCAGGAATATACAAACCTTAAATATGAAATTTCCCTTTCATTTGACTTTTCGTTTTTGAGCTAGAGCTGTCACATACATACAGACACACGCACATACAGATCATTTTGCGGGACTTGGTTATTTGGACTCGGGAGACCTCAAAATATGTATTTCCGTAGAAAACTTCCGTAGATTCGAAAATTTTCACGATCGCAATACTTTCCTTTGCTATATATTCCCTATATAAGTAAGTTAAAGTTAAAAGCCTATTATTATCTAAAAAATTACAAGGTATACCGATAACGAACAATACCAGGAATGAGGAATGAGTCACTGTTGGCCTAATGAGATATTTGTACAGCCCTATTTTCGTTGTGCGACTAAGTAGTAGCCTGCTTCTAATAATTTTAGATAGGCAGAAACATGGCTGCTGCTAATCCGCAACTTATTTCACCTTCTTCTTCCGTCTTAGTCTATTACATTTTACTTACAGAAAATACCAAAATATAGTGTACTACTCACAGGAGAAAACAGAAATGCCAGAATAAATGAAATGAAGTAACCAGTCCGGTATACTTACAGAAAAAAATCTGTTTTATTTTTTAATTTACCACATACTTTGTTTTAACGTGGCATACTCAGAAAGTCGAATTTGTAAACCATTTTTGTTTAATAAATTGGCGCGCAAAACAAGTATCTTGATTGCATCTACCGTTACATACACAACACTTGCTAATGAAATCTAAATGGATTTCAAAACTTATAATTTATAATATTATCCTCGATATTTATGAATTAAATATTAAATTTATTTCAGTTGATTGTAGGGATCTTTTTTCTCACCAGTATACAGTTAACACTGTACTGTCTTCCGCCATCTTTCGGCATTTTACTTGTCTTTATTGATTTTATTAGCTGTACCCCTAAGTTAAGCAGGTATTATGGATGTTTACATGTTCAAAGTTAATTGTTTGCATGTAATCATTGGCATTAATTTGTTATTTTTTCAAATGTATTCTTTGGTATCCTAACATAAGTTACAGCTCATCTTAATAAATAATTCCTTGTGATTTATTTCCTGTTAATAAAGTTTAATTTAGACTTCGAAAGTATTTATGCTTTAATAATAAAAATAAATTGTTAAAATAAAGTCAAAATTCGTGTTTCTTATTTTAACCAATTTCAACCTGTCATTATGTAATGCATTGACAAGTCATTTCTCCATTACCAATTGTTAAAAAATTAATGATTGATACAACCCATCTGCTTTGGCTTCATGTACCTAAAGATATATGCATTAAATTTGAACTAAAATGTACATAGTTCAAAACTGTTTGTTTCAAAATATGTTATAGCTTCAAAGAGGTCTTCTTCTTTTTGATTACCCAATTTACCTACATCTATCTAAAGCTACAATGATTTCAATAATCTTCAAACAAACGTTTTGAATAAATTTAATGTGTAGGTTTTCAATTTATTCCAATAACATTATTTACATAGATGTTAATAATTGAAGCTAATTAAATTTTAGCCTCTACTAACATATACATCTAGCTTTCTGCATAATTCAAGGATCCTCTTGGGGTTTTGCTTATTTCAAGAGTCAGCAGAAGTAAACAGCTGTGAACCAAGTAAAATCATACTAATATAAATAATCTATCAAAACAAAGTCCTAATGTGTGCATTATTTAATATATTCAGAGCTTTAGCCTGAATTCAGTATAGATATACAAATTCAGATCAAATTTCATGAAAGCTATAACACACTTTTACTCTTAATATAAAGTATTAATATTATTATTTAAGGTATTAGTCATTTTTACAACTTAATCCTTTTCTCTATTAATTCTTTTTCAAACACAGCAGGCATTTCATTAAACCTGACAAATTTCATTTCACCATAAGGTGCTGCAACACCGAACCTATACAAAAAATATTTATGAGTTGAAGTAAATTAATATCAGCAAACTTCTTTTGCATCCCTGTTTGATTAAAGTTGTATGGAATTTAAATTCCATGATACAATTCAAAGTTAATTAGGTTAATAAGAGTGCATTGTGTATCCTGAGTCACTTATATGCATAAAAGTTTGGTTCTTAGTTTTCAATGATAATTAGGCTAAGTGGAAAACGAAAGTTCTATAGATTGATAAAACTCAAATAATATTCAGGCATTTTGAGGTGAATGGAACAATTAAGCTGTCGTAAAAATGAAATAATGTTTCTTAATGATTATTTAGTTGCCTATTTCTTGATCATTTAAAGAAAGAACTGAGCAATGAAACTATTTTATGGTTGTTGACAGACTTATAATATTCTATATCGAGCCCAATGTAAATTATTACTATCTTATATATTTTAAAACTTTTGTAATCATAGTTTTCTCATTTCTTTGTACATAAGTATTATACTATATATGCATTCATAATCAGTACGTATTACTTATTCTCTAATGAATAATTATCTCTTATAAGAAATTTAATGGTTTTCTATTTTCAAAAAGGCCTTTATTGAAGTTTTCAGTTAACTATTCTGAATCTGACAGTCATGAAGTCAGAAGATAACCTATGAATATTGTTGAAAGGTAGTATATATTAAAGAAATTATGATTTTTTTTTTTTATAAACACTTATTTAAATCATAAAGTGTCAGTTTACGTCTATGAGTTATGCTATGTTTACTAAAGTTATAACTTGTAACTCTGAAGAACTACATTCAATGTAACAGTATAAATATCACAGTATTTTCATTCTCAATCACTTGCAGTTCAATTGGCTAAGGAAATACTTCCTTTATTTATGTTAAAGAGAACCACATTCCATAAATTGTAAAATAAATAAAAAGCACCCTGTATCTACAACATATTATATTTTACATACAATTAAAATACAAAAATATTACAATGTTATTTGCTAAGGACTTATCTATTTTTGACTTATGCAAAATAAATAACAGACTTCTTTACTTATTTTTTTTTAAACTAATAATACGAAAATAACAACTTAACAATGTAGACTTTTATTTATTAATTTAATATTTTTTGAGCATATATATAGATTCACTTGCAATAAACCTTTGATCTAGATAATGTCTGACCTAAAATTAACAGCCTAGTGGTTTTAACTTTATTTGCAGTTTATACAATGCAGATAATATTTAATAATTTAATTTTTCCATTTTCAGAAAAATGGAAGCTACTATAAAATTTGGTGTCCCTAGTATTGGAGAGCTCAGGATTGCTAAGATGCTATTCGATTTTATTTCTTCAAAGCTAACAAATGCAATGTGCCAAACTATATGTGCATCTGTTCAAAATTCTTATCTAGCAAACACTGAGTTGACTTCAGCCCAATGCATCCTTCTGGCTATCCTCCACAGCTTACAGACTGGGGATGTGCCATTTTGTGCTATTCTCCTCCAGCTCCCTATTATTGAAAATTTAAAATCACCTTTCATCTATGTTTGGCTTAGAGATGAATTTATATTTGATGAACTTCAAGTTGTGAAAGCCTTATCTCTGGCCGCCCAATTGGCTCACACAGGATGTTTGAATATTCCTGAACATATTCTCCGACTGTTGGCTACACTCACGACAAAATACCACGTGTTTGAGCATTGCAGAAAGTCTGGAGACCTTGATACAATAAATATGTTGATGGAACTGCATACCCCAATATCTAGAGGCCAGCAGACTGAAATTAACGAAATATCAGCAACTATGGTAATTATTTTTAAAAAATAAATTGAAAGTTTAAGAGTTAATATAATACTTTATCGGATGTCTGTCTTAATTCTGTTTATTGTCTAATTGTACTCATTTAGAAAAAATGATAAGAAGCAAATGTGAAATAATTGATAAACAAATAATAATTGATGAAAAATAACAATGAAAATTTGTTATAATAGATTATAGAAATAATAATAATAATTGAATAAAAGAAATAATAAAATACATTCAGAAAATTTTAAATGGAGATACAGATACAATTTCAGTTTTCAATGCATATATGAAATTTGTTTCTAAAATCCCATTGTTTTCCATTTGTACGCGCCTTCCTTATATTATTTTTTAATGGTGTAGGTTTTATTGCCGGTTAATGTAATTTAAAAAGTTGATCGGTGTGTGGTCAATAGAGCCAAGAACACTAATAAGTGAGATTAATGGTATATGTTAGGTGCCTAAGATTCAATCTAATAAATAAATATCTTCATCAGGGTCCATTGGTGTTAATAAAATAAAATGATGAGAAACACACAATAAATCGCAATAGGTGTTACAATGTGTTTTTAATTATATAAAAAATTTATATTTTTTAAATCTAATTTTACCTGTCTACGGTGAAGCCAGACAAAGGATTGTAATAAAATTACCTTAATTTTTTTTAATATGCATTAATTGTTTTAATCTTAAATCAGTATAAACATCTTCATATTTTACTCAAAATATTCTTTAAACCCAATAAACAAAAAAAAAATGAGTCTATAAAAATATAAAAAGTCAGGAATCAGAATGAAAAAATTAAAATTAAAAATTAAATAATATAATTTCAAGATACATTTATTTATTTAGTATTCATCACACACTATTGGTATTTTAATCATTTAGTAATGTGTAGAGACTTTTGTTTCAAGTTCTCATCATACTGCTAATGGTCCATGCCACCACAAGGGGGTTTAATGGTGCAAATTGTGCCATCAAAATTTTTGAGGGGGAGCAAATTTCAACAGGGTTATGAATTTTCGAAATAAAAAGTTTCAAACTAGAGGACATGGGGGAAAATGAAACAAATCTTAAATAGTGTAATTGTATATGATCTAGAGCTTTTTAAATTCTACTTTCGCTTGCCCTGTTTGTAAGAAGAGAAGAGCAATAAAGCGTCTTGTGATAGGGGAGAAGGGATGGTTCATGCTCCATCGGTAATAACATTTATATTAATTTTGAAACATTTGGTATTTCAGTCTGTAATGCAATCAGATTCCACTCATGATATTCAAAATTCAGGAATAACAACTGCTAATGATGATACCAGTGTTGCTTCATCGATAGAAGTCAGTTTGGATAGAGAAGTTTCAACTGAGAAAAATGTGAGATTTCAGAAATTTTGTAACAGAAAATCAATTTCTTAATCAATCTAAGTATTCTAATTTTTCAGATTTAAATTTCGATCTAAAATGAAGTACTGTTCTAGGCAATAGGCAATGAAGAATCAACTAGTATCAAGCAGATTTCTGAAGCAGCGGGAGGTGACATAGTATTTGAGAGGAATGGTTTAGAAAATGGAGCATCTTCATCGAGTGATGTAATTTGATTTATTTCAATATATTATAGAATTGAAAATCAATCTATTAAATTTAAAAACAGAAAAATCTTTCTTCCATTCGAATTTCTTTCAATATGTTTACAATATTAGACATTTTCAACTTTTCTTCTTTTTTTTTAAAGTTGAAAGTAAAAATTTTTCTGGGACATTAAGTCCTCTAAGAATAATAAAAAACATCTGGTGTGTCCACTCACATGACTTTCCTACCTATTTTAGAAAAGTTTTAATATCTTTACACATGTCCATCAAAAAAAAAAAAAAAAATTGATTAGATTTATTTCCCTGAAAATTAGTCAAAGAAAAGTTTTGAGTACGATTTATTCGATAGACTAAAGCAATGTAAACCGGCTTAAGGTAGATCAGTGTAAAAATTTCAATACCCTCTAATATTGCTGATCAAAAACTTTTTGCCATAGCTTTGTGTTGTCAAACAATAATGTCTGTTAAAATTAGAGGAAATAGTGAAGCTTGTGTGATGCGAGCGACAGATTTCCTTACTTTCACTTAGTCATCTTTTTTCTCTCATTCACCCCTTTCTGACATCAGGATATGAACCCGCAATCTTACATTCGAAATTGAATAGTTGTAACTTCATTATTAGTTGTCGAAAATGAACTATTTTTATATGGTTTTGTAGGGAATTTCATTACCTTTCAAAAAACATGCTATACGACAGACAGACAGACAGACCAATGGCTAAAAATGTGTTTTTCGGACTCAGGGAGCTCTGAAACGTATAGATCTGTTGAAAACCACATATCAGAAATTTGACCCAATTGCAATACTTTCCTTACCTAGTATAGGTTTCAATTCAATTGGTAGGAAAGTAATAAGTTAAAAAATATTTAAAAAATAGAATAAGCTGCATGATCGCTAATACTGGTTCTTTTCTGATGATTTTTTTTTTGTTTTTTGTTGTTTTGGTAATTTAATTATCTCTCAAAAGTTTTATTATAAATTTTACCGTATAACATATACTTAGGGAGTTAGGCCCCATTACATATTTCTTTTCTTTATAACTTTTTTCCTGAATTTTTTTCAGGAATTTAGTCCATATACGAAAATTGAAAGGACAATGATTAGAACATTATAGGAAAGTTTCATTAAAATCGTTAGAGCCATTTTTGCACTACAGTCTATAGAAAAACGTGCTTTTCATTTATTGTGAGCAAGCTATTGCGCATGGAGCACCGAATTTCTGTCACAGGCATCAGTAGTCAAAACTCTACAAAATAAAAAAATAATCAACAAAATCGGTTCAGTAGTCCTCGAGAAAATCTTGGCACAGACAGACAGACCAATGGCTAAAAATGTGTTTTTCGGAGTCAGGGGCTCTGAAACGTATAGATCCGTCGAAAACCGCATATCGCAAATTTCACCCCATTGCAATACTTTCCTTACCTAGTATAGGTAAGAAAAGTAATAAACAATATCAATTACTTTTAAATTTGTCTCGCACATAAGGGCAGGTAGATAATAATTAGATTATAAAGTTGTATATCAAAATTAAAATAAAGGATTAGCCTAAGCAAACATATGAAATTTTAGGTAAATAGATGTTGATGTGTTTACATATTTGCACAGTAAACAATATTAATAATAACTGTGAAATAAAAGTAGAATAAAACTTTTTGAGATTATCTTTCAGCATTCCTGCAATTTGGTCTAAGTTTTATTAATTTAAATTTAAAAAAAAAGTTAAATAAATATAATAACTTGATAACTTTATTATAACTCCGAACAAAGTACTTTATGTTTGTGATATGGGAACTAATTTTTTTAATATGGTATGATACACTTTTCATAATTTTTTTTAGAACACCAGGCATTGAAACACTTTTTTTTCTGAATTCTTCAACAAATCAATAACAAGTGAATTTATTGTTTTATTATCTTAATGTTGTTCATGAATTAATTAACTCTAAAAAATATATAAATATATGTTTATAATATAATATAGATACATTTTCTAACAAAAAACTGTTCGCAGGTTTGTAGAATGACGCCTAAAGAAAGTTTTTCACAAGTATTGCAGGCCAATATGCTAGTATTGTAAACTCTCCTTCATCGGAGGTGTATATTTTTAAATAATTTTTTAATTTATGATTAATAATTACAAAATATAATTTGGATCAAATAACGCATTCATTATTTTACGGAAGGACTCTTATGTGGCCGTTGACTCACAATACATTACCAATACAGAGACTAGGTCCGTTAGACTGCAATTGCAAGTTATTTTGTTGGTGTCCTACTCCAGCTTTTTTTTTTAATTTTCTATCTTTATTGGCTTCTGCCATTAGTGATCTTGCAGCTCAGTAACATTCCAATTTGGATAGTGTCATATCTCTTATATATAAGTGAGAGCGATTTAAATACACTCCATCCATTGTTGTTCCCAAGTTACATAGATTGCAGAGAATCTGCTACTCTTATTCTATGCTAATGTTTCATGAGTTGATTGTTATCTGTCATTATGTGAAACTCTGCTGCAGCTTCCTTTCTTGGCAGATCTACAGGTACCTGTATTATATTCTTCTTTATTAAACAATTTTCTCAAATGCTTCTAAACAGTCCTATCATATAACCCTTTTAAAGAAATGTAATGTGATTGAAATACGTTCATAGCAGAATGGAAGTCATTTCGAAGCTGCTTTTAGCACAAGAGATAAGAGTCTCTTTTTGATAGTTCTGTCTAAAAACAGAACATAAAATAGAAAAAATGGAATTTGAATAACGATATAATTTTTAATTTTTTTAACCACCACCACTTATGTAAATTAGTACGAATATTTTCAGGAATTAGATACGATGGTTGGTGGATTTGTGGTGATTGAAGGGGAAGGAGATGAAGTTTCAGCTGTGGTGGAACACGGTTCACATAGGTCCTCCGAGGTAACTTTTTAAGTTATGTAATATAAAATGTAATATAAACATAATCTATTATCCCAATTTAAAAATTAACTTTAATCATAATAATCTATCTAATAACTTTATCCTATAATTTGTGTACATTTTTGTGCATATTTCTTTTGTAAATATATATATATATATATATATATATATATATATATATATAATGAAAAAAATTTGAAAATTTGAAATGAAAAAAATAAATTAAAAAGAAAAAATATTTATAAGTAGCTTAACAGGATACATTTTTAAAAAACATATAGGAATAAGTTATATTGTTTAAAACGCTTTCACCTGATTGTCTAAAGCATTAATTGAATTTTTAAAAAAAACTTAAAATTACCATTTTAAAGTGTTATAAATATCTTTTCAAGGAGACTACTCAGGAATTCGTACAGAATACCAGACAACAAAGAAGAACTGTAATACAAGTAGGTTTGCTTATGAATCAGAAATACAACTGATTTTATTTTTATTTTGTAAAACTTTTTTGTGAACAATTCAATATTATTATTTTAACTTTAATTTCTTGGAGCATGACAATTTTATTTATAGGAATTACGTGAAAATATGGAGAAGATTGGACATCTTATTCCTTTGATAAGAACACAACCTGCGGTACAGGTATTTTGTTTTATGAATTAAATAAAGTATATCAATTTCAAGATTTTTCATGAAAATAACAGAATTGAACTTAATAATGTATAAAGTCTAGCTGAAAGTGCTATTTCATATTATAATTAATTAAACTTTTTTTTTAATAAATAAATTTTTAAAAAATCTAATTTTATAGTTTTTAATTGTATATTATCAGCCTTTGGTTTGAATTTCGAACATGTTGTACAATATGTAAAAACATTTAGCCCCACAGGAAGAACTACCAATTAATATGATGAAAACTTGGGATTTGGCCAATAAAATTATGTTTCTAACTTTTTTCAATAATCGTTTCAACAGACAACTTCATTGAAATTTATTTTTTATTTTGATTATTTCATATTACTATACTTTTTAAAAAATAAAACACCTGAAATATCACTTTTATTTTGTAGTTGATTTTCACTTGACAGAAATTGCCAAATCATTTGTTGCAAACCAAATATCATAATGATAACCTAAATCCATAGATGTAAGAATTACAAATCATTTTTTTTATTCTATCTTTTCAGTACTCTAAATTAATATTTGAGTAATAAAAAACTTTTATTCATTGATTTTCTATCTAACAGTTTAGGTATTAAGGGCTAATTATTTTTATTTAACATAAAAAAATTTAACAGTTGGACATGTGTGGCATAATTTGAATTATTTTTACATTAGGAAGTAAAGTGTGGCAAAAATATATTCATGATCGAAATAAATAACTGTATTTTTGAGTTTTATCTTATCTAAAGGCCCACTTAATTATAAATTTTATTTCAATGTTCTACAATAATTATTAATGAAAAAAAAATTAAATAATCAGATAAATACAGTATTATAAATATTATATAATGATTTATAAAAATAATTAAGATATCAAAAATATTAATTAAATATTGTTGATACGATGGCAAACTATCAAATCTGAAAATCACCAATCTAATATCATTATCAATTTAGCCCAAACAACGAGGATGCTTTAATTTCCACACTAATATCTGCTTGTATTAATGTTTGAAGATTTGATTGTATTAATCACTGTTTAAAAATATTTAATTACAATCCCTAGAATGTAGGATTGAAAAAATGAGAATTTTTCATATTCAACAGTTTGTAATTGTATCTACGATATGATAATTGTTAACAGCTTTTGAAAATGGGCTTAAAAAAGCTTGACACATCACGCTAAAAATTGAAATATTGACCACACTCCTCAAAAAACTCCTCCTTAGTCATAAATACATTTTTTTTCATCGCTTTTGGCTCTGAAAACAAAAACTTAAATCAACAAAGCAGTCTTTAGTACTATGGTTAAAACATTTGTTTAATGGTCACGTAATATTTAGGCAACTCTTTTCAGTAATTATTAATATTTAATAATTGGCTTATTGGTTCTTAATAATTCAATTTTATATCATAAACATATTAAACTAGCAATTTCTCTACCAGTTTTGAAATAGATATTTTTCCTGACTTATACAATTTTTGATGTATTGTAAAACATAATTAATAACTTTGGAAAAACTTTACAGGTCAATTTAACACCAGGAGACATAGCAGTTATACAAAATTATGTATGGAGCCCAGGTGCAAGTCATGCAGACTTAGTCATGTTGGCAACAAACAAACGAGACTACATGGGAAATACACTACTTCACCGAGCCGCTGAAAAGGGTAGATGGATGGATGTTAGAACATTAGTGAAACTAAGAGATATGGTTGATCTGAGGAATGATCTTTGTAAAACCCCTGCTCATCTGGCTGCGATATCAGGAAGTGTTGAATCCTTGCAGATATTGGTCGATCATGGAGCTAGCCTTTCAGCGACTACTGAAGAAGGTTATACTCTCCTTCATGAAGCAGCCAAGCATGGGCAAACTGAAGCAGTCAGATGGTTGCTGGATAGAGGCGCTGATATTGAGGCAAGAGATCGCCAGGGACAGACAGCATTGCATACAGCTGTTATATGGTGTCGATTTGAGACGGTTGATTTGTTGCTTAATCGTGGAGCCCATATCAACCTCAGGAATGTTTATGGACAGACTCCTTTAGCTTTAGCTGCATTATCCAGACGAAGAAAGATAAGAACTTTATTAAAATCCAAAGGTGGAATCAAATAATTGTGAAACCATTGAGTGGAAAGAAGTTTTATTGTTATGTTTATCACTTAATGTTATTCGTTTAATAATATAAACACTATATTAAAAAAACAAAAACATTATTACTATGTAACTATTGTTAAAATCTGTAATATTTTGAAGTTATCAAAAGATTATCATAAATATTCATATATTATTTTGAGTATATATTATATGATAAAGAGCATAGTTATATTTTACCAACATATGTTACATTCTATTTTCAGTAAAACTATTAAGCAGGGCTATTGTTTCTTAATCCTAATTAATAACTAGTCACCATCCTAGGTAGAGCCAAGCCTTTTAAAGAGGGAAACTGTTGTAATGTTATCACTTACAAGGGGTCATTTTTAAAATTAAAATAAAGAGATTTATATTTTAATAATCAAATAAACATCAGTTTGTGTATTGATATTTGGGTACTTTTTGTCTAAGCAGCCGTTACTGACTGCTGTCTGCCAATGTTTATAACCTGAACACTGATAGCTCCCATAACGCAGTGATAAGCCTTCTCCTACTTCACATCTTTTTATTATTGTATTAAATTCGTATCATTGAAAGTGTAAACAGATACAAAAATAAATGTAATAACAACAAAAATACTTTTATTTGACGACAAATATATTAATGAAATAATAAAAAAACAAATTTAAAAGAACATATTTACTTAGAAAAGAAAAAATATCAACACTATAAACAACGTATATACAAATTATTTTTAGTTAATTATTCACTTCCTTTTGTCTTATTTATTTTGGAAGGCAAAATTGTTTTATGCTACTTAAAATAGCGAGGAACGGATCCTCGTCTCTGTGAACCCGCTGCCACAAAAATTTGCACAAATATGAATAGAGGTGTTGTCTGGCAGTTCCTCTATGTACTTTATTTCTCCACTTAGCTGAGCCCCACAATCGTTCTATGTGTTGAGTATGAACCCCAGTTGATGGATCGACAAAATTATACCGGTGATTCACTTGGAAATGGTCATAGTTTGCTTCGTTCAGTTGTTGGGTGTTGTATCCTTTCCTACAGTCCGAATAAATGGTTGTTCCCTCTTCTATATTTTCTTTAATGGCTTGTAATAATGTTGTTGTCTTTCTGTCAATTATTTTGACGATAAAACATTCATCTGTTTCTCGGCAAACTCCACCAATGATAAGCCAGCAAGTACCCCAACATTTTGAAAATACTGAATTGCCTGTTCTTCTGAAGACGGTAAATCCCATATTCTAAGAAGATCCATAATATGACGAAAATAAACGAAAAAAAAATGAAAAATAAACACCAAGGGGTCACAAACTAAAAAAAAAAGTAAAATAAACACAAACGGACCAAAAACTAAAAATAAACACAAACGGGTCAAAAGTAAACAATTTAATAAGTGGACGTAATAAGGGAATAACTGAAAACTAAACAATGCAATAACTCAAAAGTTTGGCGGGTTAAGAAGAGGGAGGTTATGTGACATGATGACATGACGTTAGATGAGATAGATAAGAAGTGAGATTTCAAAACGGCCGCTTAGACAAAAAGTACCGATATGTTTATCAAATCTCTGCAGAACTCATTTTCTTAATCTCAAATAAGAAGATACGATTTCGTTTGAGTAAAAGATTAACAAAAGAGAGGATAAATTATTCAATTAGTAGGCCAATTAAAACTGATATTTTTTTAAACCTCTTCTCAGACAGAGAAAATTCTTTAAAATTAATGAAGTCATTTCCTTAATGTGATTTCGTTAATTATAGTAGCTCAATAGTTACTGAATTTCAATAGATATTTTTTAATGTTCCTCAAGGGATATAGAAACAGGTATATAATGAATATATTAATCACATGTCATGATAAGAAGAATTTTATTTAACACCATTTATTTTAATTAATACATACTTAGAAATAGTAAATTTTATAAAATCTGAATTTTTGATAAATAAAGGAAAATAATTACATTTTTTTAATTAATTTTCTTTCTTACTGGCTATACAATAAGAACTTATAGTCACAATCTAGTGTTACATCATGCTGTAATATATAAACAAAATATATACACATATTTTTTAAGCATAGACTTTAAAAAGTATAAATTTATACATATATATATTTATCTATATAGGTAAAGTTATTTTAGAAATCAAAAAAATTAACAAGGTTTCAAGCATTGTTTCAGTTTTTATTGCCTCTAATTAAAACCCAATAAATATACTTTAAGCTAAAAGATTTGAGAGCATCACCAAATAAAAGTATTAATTTAACTCTACAGTATATATGGTAAATTAAGACATGATGAAATAATAAGGAAATAGAAATTTTATTTTAACTGGACAGTATATAGCAATAATGATTTGTAAAAGAACTTATATAAATTATATATATATATACCAGTTGAAATATCCCCATAATTATCTTTCAATAGACTACTTCATTTTTATGGTGTAATATTTCTTTCAAATCCAAGTATAAAATCATTAAATTGTTGAACTTAATTAATATAATATAGGTAATATAATAAAACAAACAAGATAAACAGACCACTGCTGAGTCAAATATCAAAACAGTCCACATGCACAAAATCAAGTGTAAATATTAAAAGTTTAAACAGCTTACATAAAAACTATTTGCCACCTTCTTGATATGTGCAATGACATTTGTAGTTTAATAATTCAGTTAAAATAAAGAGAAGTTGGAAAAACAGTAAATAGGTCTTGCATACCTATGCAATATATCATTGATCCTCACAAAGAAATAACTTCAGCAATAGACCTCCTGTTATATAGACTGCCCAAGAAAACTCTTCTTTATAAATAAAAAGGCAATTTTAAAGGTATTAAGAAAAAAACTGATGACAACTGCACTTAAACTAGCTCAGTGTGGATTATTAAACATTATAAATTTGTTTGAATTTGCCAAAGCACAAACGTTTAGTTATTAATTTTTATTTTGTAGTTTTTTTTGTTATACATATACTTTAATTTCTTTATTTCCCTCATATTTATTTTTTATCATCATGGTTGTTGAATGATGAATTAAAATCTATAATTTTTTCAGAAATACAAATAAATAATAAAATTTTAAATATATACTTTTTTGATCTAATGAAACTATTCAAGGGCCAGAAGTTAATTGATAAAAAAACTAATCCACTCTACCTGCTATAAATTCTCATAATTATTACTCCGGGCTATCCTCAGACATTGCAATATTCTGACTGGATCCTCTTACCTCAACTCTGTTCTACCATCAAGTTCCTTACAAATTTAACCATCCCAATAAGTGGTGATTATAAAAATTTCTAATCACTAGGTTGACAAGTGAATACTTCTTTTGATGATTAATCTTAGTTATTGAATAAACTTGTCAAATAATTAATGAAAATATATGAGAAACATAATTAATACATAATACCTTTGTACAATTTAAATTCACATGATAAAATACAATTTTTAAACAAATAACTACATCAAAAGAAATATAATACCCCTTCCTCATTTAGGTATATAATTTATTCACAAAAGTAAAACCAAAAATCAATATTACTAAAATTTATTTTACATGTATTTAATTTATTTTTTCATGTTATTACATTTTAAAAGGATTACAGAAACAAGTAATAACTTTTCACCCGATGAATAATTGGCTGTAATAAGTGCGTATACCTTTAGCCATAAAATTGCCATTTGAGACTTATAGACTTTTGGGAAGTTTTGAATCACAGGTTGCATTACATAAGCTTTCTTCTAAACTTCTTAGTGGATAATATAAAAACAGTGATGGTAGGAAATGAAAACCTTATGACTTTATCGATCTGTGAAAACCACAGAAATCAATCATATATAAAAAATTTAAAATACAGATATCTCCAATCTATAAAATAACTAAGGCACTTGTACTACGCAGTAAAAATTATAGAAAATAAATTTGTATTTCTTCATATATATTTAAACAAATAACCATTTCTTCTGTAAAATTTACCGAAGTGGAGCAATGAGGTTTTAATTGCATGGTATGTATACGATTAAAAAAAACTCTAATAAGCACACCTAACTAATAAGTCTCAGCCAATAAGCTTTAGTCATATACCTAAACCTTTTTTTTCTATATTTTTTCATTTTATAAGTGAACGTAATCTTTGCTTTCATAAAGCCAAAAGTTTCTAGTTTAGTGGACCTCACAAACATCTTGTTTGCTAGAAACAAAACATTAAAAAATGGCCATTGATCACTTATTCCTTGATCTTACTTAAAAATGAAAATTTTTTTTAACTTGACTAATTAAAATAAAATATAAATGTTCTTTTTGCCTCAGAAAAGCTGTTTTTATTTAATTATAGCTAACTAATTAACAGTTTAAAAAACTTTTTTCAGTTAAAACCGTGTTCATGTTTTTTAAATTAATATATTTTTTTTCCTAAAAATATTGCAAACTGATCGTGCATTGAAATATAATAAAACAATAATATGAACTAAATTCATAAATATTTTCTCATGTTATAGTTTGTTTCAACAATACCTAATTTACAAGTTTCTTTTAAACCAATTGTAGTAATCCAAAAGATAATTAGTAAAAATGAAACAATTACTGATTTTTTCCCATAAAATAGGCTTTTCATTTTAACACATCTCGTGATATTAAGGATTATATAGTTCATGGTCGCACTAAGATACAAAAAATGAGTCATGTCATTTCATCCATTTCATAGCCCAACAAAACTTGTTTTTCAGTGATAGGTAAACTTTTCATTATCAATTTATCCCAAGATGTAGTTGAAAACAGCAATCAAAATATTTTTATATTTCTACATAAATTTTACCAAGGTTCTAGCAATATAAATATATGATTAATACTGGGATTAAAAATATATATTACGAGAGGTAACACAGTACCTGTTAAATATGTATCAATTAAGTGAATAGCTGCTATTGTATAATTGATAAATAAATCTATATTTTAAATCATTTAAAAGTACAGTCACTATTCCATGATTCTCTTCCCCTTAAAAACAAAGAAAGTTATATAAGTATTAAACCATTAAAAAAAAGAAAGATGAATATAACCATCCAAATTGAAAAAACAATTATTCAAAGAATTAATGTTTTGTTTGGCATAAGACCAGGTTATGTGTCAACTAATAGGCTCTTTGCTTACTTGGTTTTAATCTTCTTACACTAAAATACACTCAATTATAATACAAAATACACCATATTTTATTTCTTTACTTCTGACAAGTGGTTTAAAGTATAGTGGCAACAATGCTTTTATAAATAAAAACAGTATTTTGTTTACATAATTAATAACCTAGCCTATTCTACATTCATGATGTAGCAAGTGTTAAAAAACAATGAATGTGAACTTATGATAACATTTAAATTATTTATTCGAATAACAATTACAATTTCACTACAGGGAAGGGTTTTCAATCATTATAAATAAATACGAATGGAATATAATTAGCAATCTAAAAAATTAGCAGCCATAAGAAGCTCCAACGCAATCTGAGGTGCAATCGGGAATTCAGGTATCTCAGCAGATGAGTTAGTATAGCGAACCTTGTATGTAAAATACATGCAAACCTTCTGCAACACATGAGACGGGATTTCTCTAAAGTGAATTTCATTAGTCTCGTTCTCTGCAAACTGTCCAGGTCCTGATAACATGGCTTTGATTGTGCCAGAAGTTAGAGCATGCTCTCTCTTGACAATGAATTCATGACCATCAGAAGATATTAATTTAACATACATAGCATCAGGCCCCTCACAACCACCATAAACTTTATCTTCTTCCTTCTTATCTTCGATTCCTTCAGACATCTTTGGTATTTGCTTAGAAAACTTTGAAAGTTAAAGCACTTTGAATTTGGATAAACAATCCTAGACAGAAACAACTCCAACTTCGGGAATGATTACAAAAAGCCTGAACGCAATGACGTCAAAATCATGGTGTCAAACATAGAGCAATTTCAGTGAATAAAATAATTTAACAAACTTTTTCAGTTTGTAATAAAGGGTCATGTGGATAATGATATTTGTTGTATTTTGAGAAGACTTAATCTTCTTTATTCAAAATAAGAAAAAAGTTTATTGGCGCTTGGTACCTTTATTGACTCAGTCCTGCGTCTATTACTGAATTAAACTTACATACATGGAAGGAAGATAGAAATATTAAAAATCTTATCACCTTTAACCAGTGCAATTCTTAAAATAAACCCTATCGGCGAATTTATATTGAAACAATATAAGGTCAAAGCCTCTCTGCCAAGTGTAGTATACTGATCACATATTGAGGTAGGTGAAGAGTGGCTTCATGACGCTTGGGTTAACAGATCGCATAGCTTCCTTTTAGATGAAAGTTGGTATGGTTGGAGTATTTTATAACTCAATATGTTTATGCCTGTATGGATTCCATTGTAATCTATTAAGGTACGATCAATATTACTATTGAATGACTCCCATCCAGTGTCCATTTTTAATCATTGATGTGGAAACATATTGTAGTAAGATCATAACACTTCTTAAAGTGATTAACTATTAGAATATGTACCATGTTATTCTTGGTAACGTATCTCCGACGTTCCTCATATGTAAATTCAAAAATGCTTAGGATTCTGTAGAATAGGACTACAGCTACCTAATCAAGCTTCGGCGCAGGTTTATAGAACACAGTAAGTTAAACAATTGTGACTTTGTGGTGAAACTGTATATATAGCATTTCCAAGTCAATTTCAACCTTTTCCAAATCAAATTCAACCTTTTCCAAGTCAAATTAAACCTTTTCCATTTCAAATTCAACCTTTTCCAAGTCAAATTCAACCTTTTCCATTTCAAATTCAACTTTAGAATTTTTGTCATTTTTCGATTTTTTTCGAAATGAAGGCCACTTACTATATTATCGACGGCATAGCTTTTAAAAAATACAAAAAAAAAATTGATTACGCAGTTGCATATCCATTTATTTTAACATTTTAGATTTTTTAGTGTGATATTTCTATGTGATATTCAATTATTTCCAAGTCAAATTCAACCTTTTCCAAGTCAAATTCAACCTTTTCCAGATCAAATCAAACTTTTTCCAAGTCAATTCAACCATTTCCATTTCAAATTAAACCTTTTCCAATTCAAATTCAACCGTTTTCATTTCAAATTAATGTTTTAAGTTTTTGTAAATTTTGTATTTTTTTTTTAAATAATGGCCATCCCCTCCCCCCTCCAATATGAAAGTCTATTATTATGCTCTCCTAAGTAGAATTTTCACTTAAGGATATCGATTTATTGTACCTATTCGGATTTCTTAGGGACTAGTATTATGCTGTCATGTACCTAGTTTTGAAAATAACCTCCATTTTAAGATTACGTGACTGCGTTTCGAATCATTTAAGTTTTTTTGACAAATTCGATATGTGGGTGTATTTTTATGTTTCCCGATCAGTAAATTTTGAAAATGACATCCATTTTATGTTTACGCCACTGTGTTTTGACTTATTTAAGTTTTTAGAATTTATCCAATATAAAGGTCTACTTTTATGTTTCCGGAGCCGTAGATTTTGAAAACGACCTTCATTTTAAGATTAGGCCACCGCGTTTCGACTTATTTGAGTTTTTCGGATATTTTTCATATGAGGGTGTATTTTTATGTTTCCGGAGCTGTAGATTTTGAAAATGACCTCCATTTTAAGATTACGCCACCACGTTTCGACTTATTTGAGTTTTTCGGATTTTTTTCATATGAGGATGTATTCTTATGTTTCCGGAGCCGTAGATTTTGAAAACGACCTCCATTTTAAGATTAAAGTAGACCTTTAAATTGGATAAATTCGAAAAACTTAAATAAGTCAACATGCAATGGCGTCATCATTAGATGGATGTCATTTTCAAAATCTACGGCTCAAGAAACATAAAAGTAGACCTTAATATTGGATAAATTCGAAAAACTTAAATAAGTCAAAACGCAGTGGCGTTATCATAAAATGGAGGTCATTTTCAAAATCTACAGCTCCGGAAACATAAAAATACACCCTCATATGGAAAATATCCGAAAAACTCAAATAAGTCGAAACGCGGTGGCCTAATCTTAAAATGGAGGTCCTTTTCAAAATCTACGGCTCCGGAAACAAAAAAGTAGACCTTTATATTGGATAAATTCTAAAAACTTAAATAAATCAAAACACAGTGGCGTAAATATAAAATAGATGTCATTTTAAAAATTTACTGATCGGAAAACATAAAAATACACCCTTATATCGAATAAGTCAAAAAAACTTAAATAATTCGAAACGCGGTGGCCTATTCTTAAAATGGAGGTCATTTTCAAAATCTACAGCTCCGGATACATAAAAATACACCCTCATATGAAAAATATCCGAAAAACTCAAATAAGTCGAAACGCGGTGGCCTAATCTTAAAATGGAGGTCCTTTTCAAAATCTACGGCTCCGGAAACAAAAAAGTAGACCTTTATATTGGATAAATTCTAAAAACTTAAATAAATCAAAACACAGTGGCGTAAATATAAAATAGATGTCATTTTAAAAATTTACTGATCGGAAAACATAAAAATACACCCTTATATCGAATAAGTAAAAAAAACTTAAATAATTCGAAACGCAGTCACGTAATCTTAAAAAGGAGGTTATTTTAAAAAACTACCCATACGATAACAGACCCACGCATCGAAAAATTAAAGATAATTAAATAAATAAAAAAGGTTGAATTTGAAATGGAAAAGGTTTAATTTGAAATGGAAAAGGTTGAATTTGACTTGGAAAAAGTTTAATTTGATTTGGAAAAGGTTGAATTTGACTTGGAAAAGGTTGAAATTGACTTGGAAATGCTATATAAATATGTAATAAATATATGGTGCTACCACAAGATGGGGTCTCCATCTGAGTGTTAGACAAGATCTCATATGTACCTTATATCGAACCAATTGACCCAAATTTGTATGAATATCACTTATGCTTGAAAAATTGTCATTCTACCACCATAATGAGCCCAATAAAAATACGAAAAAGTACCTCCATTTCTTAGGGAAATGATATCTGTAAAGTAGACACAGTGAAGTGATATTACAAAAAATACAATACTTTCTCTATTGTAAAATTAGAGATTTACAAACAGCTTCAAGAATGTCTTGAAGAAAACCTTAAATATGATTAATTTTATTTATATATTTGCTACGAAACATTTCAAATGGGTTTGTATCGAGATATTTTGAAAATATCAGAAGGCTTCAATCAATATTGTGTATTTTCGTAATATGGCAGGTCAGGTAATGTGGCTAATTAAAGGATTAGTCATGAGAGGAATGGAATAAGATGGTTGTTGTCAGTAACTTATTTATTAGATTGCCGGGCAACGCGTGGTGCTGTGCACACACCTTGGCCGCTCCGCCTATCAAAACTATAATAAAAATGTATGCATTTGATTATTTTTTACATTACAACAATATTACAAATTCAATTACGTATTATATATATTATTCGCTATGACTCTTGAGCCTATTATTCCGAAAAGTTATTACATTCCATTCTTTACATTCTATTCGCATAACTGTTTTATTTTCTTCTCAAGTTTTGGTTCTTTCCACAAGAATACGGGTTGCTGTCACCCTTTTAATTCAAATATGGATTTCGCTATTACACACCCACTAAAAAAGAATAAATAAAGTCCATTTTTCTTTGTGATCAATCGTGAAAAGTCAACATAAATAAAACGGTTGAAGAATGAGTAAATTAAGAAGATATACAACAAAGCTTCTAATTTTTTTATTTTTAAGAATGAATTTATTATGCGGTTCAATATTCGACTAACATCAACAAGGCAAGAATTTTTATTAATCTCATGTTTCACGACTTTGAACAAAATTTAAGTTATTTTTTCAAAAAGTTTAAATTTGAAATACATCTTCATTCAATCATTTCTTCAATTAGTTATTTTATTTATTTAAGCCTCCGATGTTTTGACACGACATATTATCTTATTTTTTTATTCTTTTAAAGTATTTGTTTATTTCATTTTAAAATTTTAGATTATATTTAACTAATAATATTTATCAGAGTGTCCTGTTTGTCTCAAGAAATGTGATATTTTAGTTGTACATAAACTCGACTATTGAATGAGTTAATCCTTCTAAGGGCCGGTTCCTAAATTCTGTGCTGAGCTGATCGATGTCATCGACAATCTATTAGACCGTCCCTAAGCTCGTCAATGGAAAGCATCCAGTGTTCGGTACGTTCATATATTCATCGATTGAATCAGCGATTTGATGATCTGATGGAATTAATGAACCCGCTGTATGTAACGTTAGATTCATTGTTTTTTCAATTTATATTAAGTTCACTGCCTATTTTTATTTTATTTAGTTTAATTTTTATCCTACCCTGCCCATTACACGAGTTTAAAGGTGTTTATTTACGGATCTAACGATGAGTTTAGGAACGGTCTGATGGAATTCCGATGTCCATTGATGTGTTTAGCGCTGAGCTTAAGAACTTTCCCATACATAGGGCAAGTTCGGCACAAACCTCATCGATTGCATCGGAACCATTTCTTAACTGGAAGAACCGACCTCATCGATGAGCCCAACGCTGAGTTTAGCAACTTGTCTGATGAATGTGCAAGTAACTATTTCATGAACTATCGATTGTAACTTTCTATCGATAAATCTCTTTTGGCGGAGCCATAAAATTATAACAGTCCATGAAAGTTTACATTGAAACTTGCGTTCGTTTGTGTGTAATTGGAATTTAATTAAAGTTAATAATTAACCGCTGTTCTTTTGATTCTAAAACGTTTTATTTATGAAATAGATTCAAGTCCTCAGATTAAATATTTCCTTAATGTATAACAATAATTATGAAAATAACTGATCGTTTCATGGTTATGTGTCCATTGCTGAAAATAGGGAATAATTTTTAAAAAAGTTATCTATGACTAAGAAGAAATTATTTTAAAATACCATTTATTAGTAAATATTGTTTTAATTAAAGTTATATTAAAATGACATCCATAATTAAGTTCCATGCTTTATCTGGAGTTATGGATGAATCTCCACCATGTTATATTTTGCAAGTTGATGAATTTCGCTTTTTACTAGACTGTGGCTGGGATGAGCACTTTAACCAGGATTATATCAAAGAACTTAAGAGACATGTTCATTTAATCGATGCAGTTTTGCTTACTTATCCTGACCACTTACATTTGGGAGCATTACCCTACTTAGTTGGAAAATGTGGACTTAGTTGCCCTGTATATGCAACTATTCCAGTTTACAAGATGGGACAAATGTTTATGTACGATTTATATCAGTCTCGTTATAATATGGAAGACTTCAATGTGTTTAGCCTTGATGATGTTGACGCTGCATTTGATAAAGTTGTTCAGTTAAAATATAACCAATCAGTAACAATGAAGGGGAAATGCTATGGACTTAGCATTGTTCCTATGCCAGCTGGTCATATGATAGGAGGAACAATGTGGAAAATCATGAAGACTGGGGAAGAAGATATTATATATGCTATCGATTTTAATCACAAAAAGGAAAGACATCTCAATGGTTGTGACCTAGAAAGATTGCAGAGGCCATCATTGCTTATAACTGATGCATTTAACGCAACTTATCAGCAAGAACGAAGAAGAGCAAGAGATGAAAAACTTATGACAACAATTCTTCAAACATTAAGTAATAATGGTAACATTCTTATTGCTGTTGATACTGCTGGTCGCCTTTTGGAGTTGGCACACATGCTGGATCAACTTTGGAGGAATAAAAATTCTGGTTTACAGATTCACCCTTTATGCCTTATTAATAATGTAAGTTATAATGTTGTCGAATTCGCTAAATCTCAAATAGAATGGATGAGTGATAAATTAATGAAAAGCTTTGAAGCTGTTCGTAATAATCCTTTTCAATTTAAACATATACGTTTATGTCATAGTGTTTCAGAGCTTAACAAAATTCCTTCTGCAAAAGTAGTTCTTGCCAGTATGCCTGATCTTGAATGTGGATTTGCTCGTGAAATATTTTTTCAATGGGCCTCTGATTCTAAAAACAGCATTGTTCTAACATCAAGATGTTGTGAAGGTACACTAGCAAGAGATTTATTAGACAATGGTGTTGGAAGGACCATTCAAATCACTGTTAAAAAAAGAGTTCGTCTTGAAGGGGAAGAATTAAAGGAATACTTAAAAGCACATAAAAAAACTAATGACAAAAATGAAGAAAAGGAAAGTTCTGAGTCAGAAGATGAAATCCAATTGCTCAGTGTCACCAAAGGTAGTCATGATTTAGTTATTAAGCAAGAACGAAGGAAAAAAAACCAAAAATCTTTAAAGAAATTTTATCCAATGTTTCCTTTCATTGATCGTAAAGTTAAATTTGATGAATACGGTGAATTTGTGCGCATAGAAGATTACAAAGCTCCTGATACCGCTAAACGTCCTCCTGAAAAAAAGTCTAAAAAGAAGGATGATGATATTTTAGATCCTGCCGATATTCCAACCAAATGTGTTTCTTATGAGAAGTCACTAACTGTAAATGCTCAAGTTCAATACATAGATTTTGAAGGAAGATCTGATGGAGAATCAGTACAGAAAATAATCACTCAGTTGAGACCAAGAAGAGTAATACTTGTCCGTGGTACCTCAGAAAATACGGAAGCTTTAGAGAAGCATCTTTTGCAATGGTCTGAGGCTAAAATATTCTGCCCGAAAAAAGGTGATATAGTGGATGCTACCACTGAAAGTCATATATATCAAATAAGATTGACAGATTCTTTAGTATCTTCATTACACATGCAAAAAGGTAAAGATTCAGAGCTTGCATGGATTGATGCTATTACCAAATACCGTCAGAAACCCTCTGACACTATGCAGTCGACAGAAGAAATGGAAGTTGAAGAAGATGGTAATTACAGCATTTACAATGATGACTACTTAACTCTGGAACCTCTCCCCTTAACTGAAGTCAATCCTCATCAAGCAGTGTTTATAAATGAGTTAAAATTATCAGACTTGAAACAAATTTTATCTCGTAATGGTATAGAATCTGAATTCTCTGGTGGTGTATTGTGGTGCTGTAATGGTACTATTGCTATTCGAAGGTTGGAGTCTTCTAAAGTGTACTTAGAAGGGTGGATTTCAGAAAATTACTATAGAATTAGAGAAATTTTATATGGACAATATGCAATTTTATAAGTATTAATTATTTCATGATTTGTTTTATGAAGTATGCCATTTGTTAATCCTGGATACCTATTTCATAGACCAGAACTTTTTTCAAATTGAAAGTTATTTATTGATTACTTAATTTTATAAGCTGATTAATTAATCCTGGTATTTATATTGAATGAAAATTATTTATTTTTATATATTGTTGAATGTTTTTTTTTTTTAACTTTTTAAAACATTCTTGTAAATAGTAAATTAGAACAATTCAATTTTATTTAGTCGTATTGAGTTTTTAGGTTAAGACTTGTGTATATCATTGCTGATACTCATATTGTACAGTTTCTTTTTTACTGAATTACTGTTATAAATTTTTTTTCTTTGTGATACTATGTTTTATCATTTATTCTGTTTAAATTGTCTCATTTTTCTTGTTATAATTGAAGGGTCAATAATTAAAAATGCCAAATATTGTTTAATTTAATAGCCATAAAAGTTATGTAATTACAGCAGAATATGAAATAGTATATAAGAATTGGTTTCATACCCAATGTTGTTTCAGTTTATAGTGTATTTTGATATAATATTATTAAAATTTGTGATTTTTGTTAAATTGAACTCTTTTCTAATTCATTTGGAGTTCATCAGGTGAGTGACTGCTATTACCACTCTCCTTTCCCCCACACCATATCTTAAATAATAACTATGAATTATTTAATGTTAACCCACTTCACGAGCTAATTTATGCCTGTTCACAAAAATCAGTTATTTCCTCGTTCCTTTTCAGTTCTTGTTTTTAACATAGCTATAATTTATTTAGGATTGACACTTATTTTGATTTAGAAAGAAAACTTAGAGAAATTATTAGGAAAAAATAAAAAAAAACAGTAGCTATCACATTTATTGTAAATTATTACAATCAAAACTAGACATAATTTCAAACAAAGAAGACAATGGTGCATCTGTCCTTATGGCTAGTTTATCAAAGTGTGTTTTGCTAGCTCTGTAACCCATTTTCCGCAACCTCTCAACTACTTTATTTAGTTTCATTAACTGATTAATTTGAGGATGGTGTTTATGAATGTTAAAATAAAATGGAGGTTGGTCTGAAAAATCATACTTTGTTCTCTTCGGTTCATCGGATGATTCAATAGTTGGGCACCTAAAAATTGAATAATAATTAAAAATATTAACACAGGAAAATTTCCTTAATAAAATTTATCCTACTTTGCAACCATACCTTTGATTATAATTTTTAGAGCATTGCATTAATAACTTAAATTTTTCTTAAGATTTAAGAGTTATAAAAATAACTGGGAGAGTTAGTCAACTGTTCTACATATCATGGGTGATAACAATTCAAGACGCAGTCATAAAGTTTTTATTAGTGCTGATGTTTCAACCCAAACATGTGGGTCATCATCAGGCCGTTTCGAGCACTGAAGGTATTCAAGTACTAATTTAATAACTCATTTCATATAGAAAAATGATTTTATTTTTTACAAGAAAAAATAAATTAGTCAATTTCAGTTACAAACTTAATCTCAGCCCAAAACATATAAAATATAAGAGGAGAGAGAGAGTGAATAGAAAACCAAGGTATTTTTGTTTTCATAAAAAAGAACAACTGTTCCTTTACCTCACCCTTTTAATAAACCACCTTAAATACTCTGACTTAAGTTCCATATCACGCCAAATTTTCCAAAAATAACTGTTGTATCTTCTTAAGTTTATTTATTAGTGGTCAAAGATATTTTTTGAATTGTTAATATTACAGCAAGTTCAAAATAAAATAGCTGATTCCGTTATTTTCAAATGTCGAATGCTAATAATTCCTAAAATTTTATATTATATGTGTAAATGGCAGACAATAAAATGACAAATCAAAAAGGAGATGGTATTTGAGTCAATCAGAAGAAAACATCATATAAATGATGGGTATTGAATAAATACTTATAAATCATACATTTTTTCTGACCGAATCCTGAACCATCTTGAAAGCCTTCAGTGCTCGAACCACCTCCTGAAGATGATCCACATGTTTAGGTTGAAATGTTGGCACAAATAAAAAAAATGTGTATGATGATTGCGTCCTGACTATTTATCACCCTTTAATAATTTATAAAAATTTTAATCTGATTGGATCTAATAAACTATCTCCTCTTAAATTTTGAAAAATACTCCGTAATGACATTTTAAGTACAGACAAAAAAATAAATGTTCAGAAAATAAAAAATGAAAATGAGGTTGCAAACAAAAACTGTTAGATCTCATAGGCAATTCTTTTTTCTTCCTTAACTTGCCTTTCAGCAATACAGGATTCCTCACAAATTACTGGTAACTATTAAAATTATAATAAGGTTTCATTTTCTTTTCTGAGATAAAATAAAGCCCCAATTCGAAAAATTTAGAAAGAAAAAAGTAATAATTGTAAAATAAACTAAAATTTTACCTAGCTTCTTCTAATATTAAATCAAAAGTAGTTGAAAGTTCATAATTAGAAAATATATTTTGTTCACACAACTTGAAATTAGCCTGTAGCCTCTCAACGAAAGAGACATCGAAAATTGGACCACTCCAAACCGGACCCAATTCAAGATTGGTTTTACCAGGTGCTTTATTTGCACAGCTACAATCAAGTTTCACCTCATTTGGATCTAAAAGTAGGAAAGTTCTTTTAAGTAAAAGATAATAACAAATAAAGAAGAAAATAATTTTCAAATACTAAATCTAAGATATTTCCATCAAGCTATCATTTTTTATTAGTTATGTTTAAATTACAAATGCAACTTAATATCATGATCAAACTAACTTAATCTACAGGTGTACAATGTTTTCAAACATAAAAAAGTAATTTAAGTGTCTTAATTACTAGACATCTATTTTTCTGAGGAAAGAAATATATTTATTATAAAACTTCAATTCAAGACTATTATAATTTATTTTTTTAACAATGAGTATTTTTTTTTTCTCTTGCAAAAGTTTACATGTAACATGCGAACTTGCATATTATATGTATGCTTACATTTTATCTATATTATGCTCTTCAAGAAAAACAGAACTAAAGCTACAATACTTATTTAGATGAAAATAATTTTTTTTTTAATAGCATATATATACGAAATAGAGTTAAATGTTTTCAAGCATTGAGAAAAAGCAATGGGTAATTTGAAATAAAAACAATTACAGTATAATAAAAATTGGCTTGTCAACTTTATGAAAATGTCAGATGTCCACAATTGGTATTAAAAATAAACACATAGAACCAAAATTGTAAGCATATCAATTATCTGAAAATTAAAAAAAATTTAAATAATTAATGGCTCATTTTTTAGAAAAGAAATTAGTTGCCCTGGAACTACCAATGTACAACCCCAGGCAAAAAATCATTTTCTTTCATTCATATTCAAACCAATGGATATTTAATTGTCACACATTAAATATTATTTTTAAAAGTTAAATATGAGATCGTCAACCAAGTATGTATTAATTTCTACAACTAACCTAGTTTAATAAAAGTTGGCTTGGCACACATTTTCTGTTAGTAGAAAATTATTGTGATTTATGATGGCAGCACACTGCACAGCTTCTCAACAATATTGAATACATATTTTTTTTTTAGATTTAATTTACCTTGAGTAAATCCATCATGCCGAGGAAAGAATCTTCTGTTCTCACAAACCATGCAATGTTTTAAGAGACGAATATTTTCCAACATTTTATTTGCCAATAAAGGACCCTTCTGTACAATTACAGCAATAGTGAATGTATTTATATACGAAACACAGCATAACACTGAAATCGCCTTATTGAACTTAGCAGCAGTCCTAAAAAAAAAAAAAAGTATGACTTTTAGTGAAATAACTTTAATACAGCTATGCTTTTATCTTCAACTAAGAAAATATTATTTATAGTACCAGTTCTCAAGTCACTCTTCCTAAGTTTGATGGAGAAATGGTCCATGAACTGAAAACGATTTATCTTAATTGATAAGGCTCCTTGCTTGGTAAGAATCCATTGGATGGAATTCGCTTATCTTTTGACTGAGCTAATTAAAGATGTAATCAGTTTATTAACCTCAATTGACATTACATCATGTGTAAGGACTCATACCCCAGTACATCGTACATCACATAGACTTATTGGTCATTCTTACTGGTCCCAGGAGTTACACACAAAGTACCATATTCTTTCAGAAGTGTGGAAGAACCAAAACGCCAGATGTCTTCTATTCTATGACATCAACATCTGCAGACAGTCAGCTCATCTCTTTCGCTCACACCTTCAGCAGCAATAATTCCACCTCATACTTTTATGGTCAGTGTAAACTCAAATTCCTTTAAATACTAATGAAACTTGTAGATATGAAAGAGAAAACTCATTGAATTGTACAGTGCAGGAAGGTCCAGGGAAATCCCTAATGACCTGCGCTACCAGTTCTTCACAAACAGTGCAGCCAAGACTATTTTCAACCTAGCCAGACTTTTTCCCATGCAAGATAGTGCAAAGCTATATTTGTTTAACACATACCACCAAGTGCAATAATGACCAGGTTACATTGAGAATCCGCTCGAATGACGAAGAGTTGCTATGGCCTAAGGCTCTTCCCCAAAAATGATTTCTTGCAGGTGCAAGAAATGCTTGCAACTGCAGGAAGGAGGTTTGAATTACGCTGAAATTAGGCTAGACACCCATGATTAGGACAAACTTAACAAGGACGATGATATGGATAGGCTGCTCTACTATTTTGACAGCAAACATGCCAGGGATGCTATTGAAGAAGTCTAGGAACAATACTTCTATTAATTATTACTTGCCAACATGTTATATATGCCATTGTTTATATCAATTAATACTTACAAACATGTTTGAGAACGGGATGGCCGATCACGTTGGGGGGTGGGTACCCGAGTGTCTAGTTCTGAACATTGTGGGTCCGGTTCCCGCTGAGGTTGTTTAATTATCATTTCAAATTGAATCTTGACATTCCCACTGTGGTAAAGACATGGTTGCAACCTCAAGATAGCTGATAGTGGTTGGCAAAAAGGACCATGTGCCCCACTTGCTGGACTAGTTTTCCCACCAAAGCCATTACCAGGAACATGTGCATTGCATTTATATTAGGGCTCGTTGATAAGATTTTACTTGGGGATATTCAACAAATAAATATTCACATTCTATTTCAGGACGATAAATATCATAGGAGGCGGATGTGTTTGGGCGAGATCGAAAACTTGGATTTTGCAAGTCATATCCTGTACAATGATTGGTGTGGTTGCCAATAATTGGTTACTCCTCAAATAGCATCTACTTGTGACCTTAGCCTTGCTACTCAGGAGAACCACTTGTGAAGTAGCATTTAATTTATGTTTACAGTTTTCAAGTTTAGAATGATCTAAAGAAAGAAATTTATTATTGAAAGGGTTTACTACTTCAAAAGTGTACCTCCACCATGACGAATGAGCAACAGATCACCTGATCACACTAAATATGGAATTCTGAAAAAAGGCAATTTTGTCTGAAAGAAAACGAAAGTGAATGAACTCTCTGTAAGGACCCAATCTCAACTCAAAATGACCCATTTAGGAATTTCTCTATCCCTTCTGACCAAGCAGAAGTCAAAACTGCAATGTAATTAAAAAGCTAAATGCACTGAAAATTACCAGTAAGAAGAGCGAAGAAGTCATATATCACTATTTAAATAAAGGGAGATATAATCTTTAATACTTCAATAATTAACCATTATCAGAATTCCATTTATAGAGTGATCTTGAGCCCACCTACCAAAATGGACTAATGCATGTGAAGTAGTTATAGAACAGATTACTAATATTTAAAGCCCTTTATATATTTTAACTCATAGAATGTCAACAGCCACATTGCAAAAATTAAAAATATTATTGAAACTATAAAGTTTTTTTCTTTAAACTAATTTTAAGATCGATTTTTTGCATGATTAAGACAAGTTCTTGAAGCCTGGATTGACCAGAAAAACTGAAAATATATTTTCCAATATAATTTTTCTAATAAGTTTTTGCAGTGTGGATTTTCGATGTGTTAATTTTTTGATTACATTAACTATTTTTAACACTTAAAATATTCTAAGAGGAGTTGATCAGGGGGGTGGGGGTGCGCGGTCAAATTAATATTAAATTAAACAAGTAAAATTATTTAATTTTTGCCGACGTTTCGACCCACTTTGCAGGTCTTCATCAGGGCGTAGGATGTAGCACTGCGGGAGGCAGTTGAAACACTGTGTTAATCTGAAACACTATGCCCTGATGAAGACCTGCAAAGTGGGTCGAAACGTCGGCAAAAATTAAATAATTTTACTTGTTTAATTTAATATTAATTTGACCTCAGTCCCCGATCAACTCCTTCTCATATTATATCAAAGGTCAACCATCTCTACATCATTAAAATATTCTAATTTAAACATCAAAACCTATACATGTTATAAAGGAACTCTAGCTTGAATTAATGGTTTTAAACAAGGAAGACAAAGGTAAAAAACACAATGAATTAGAAATAGCTATCTCACCTAGCCAAAGCAGCAATAACTAGTCTTATCCCAAGTTCTTGATAATATTGTACTCGTGTTATTCTACCACTATATCTTCTAAACGCAACATCTGGATTATTTCCGTGAAGAGCACAATCATCTTTAGCTGTAATGACAAGTACACCATTCCGAGATATATGCCGTAATGCGGCATCAAAATAATTAGCAGCATCATTAGTACAGTTCAAATATCTGTTGCACAACAATTTAACTGAATAGGATGAGGACAAGATATTGGTTTTTAATAAGATGCAAAAATGCACTCACATGAAATTATATCCTCTTTCATGAAGGACTATACAGGGGTCTTTAATAGTCACTTCAACATCAACAGAATTATTTTCAACATTTCTGAGTAAAAAATCTATTGCTTGTTCATTTGGATTGTTAATTTTAACTTCTACATTGTTTCCTAATATCCTTTTCCATAAAATTCCTGAAATTCCAGTACCACCAAGAACATCAATGCATTTATTTGAACATTCAGATCCTCTGGTTTGAACAATAAGGTTTAAAATATTGCAAACCAAATTCCTAAAACAAAAAATAATTGAAAAATAAATCTGAACTTGGTAATTTTTGATATAATGTCAACGCAATTGCAAATCAAACCTAACAAAGCTAAGCTCTTTACTTAGATAAAGAGGTGATTTTCTAGGGCAAGATGCTTTGGTATCAGCAAAAACTGTAATGCCATATTCATTATATTCTTCAAATTGGGAACTTGACTTAATTTCAGGCTCCATTGTTATCGAGCCGATGAAGACGAAGCGTGTTTACAGCATGGTTAGAGAGGTCTATGAACTAGCGACGGAGTCAATGAAACTACAGATCTTGGCCGAAGAAAACAACAAATAGGCCTATATTCAGGTTATAGTACTGATACTTCGCCACGGCCATTACGTGAAACAACTCTGAGATGGTCGAATGCCATGTGATCGCCACAAGATGCAACAAAACCAAAATTTTATTGTTTCAATTTCGCTATTTCGTAATGATTCGTGAGCATGTTAATTATTGAGCACGTTTTCTTCCTATTTCGATGAACGATGGAAAGTGTTATAAGGTTAAAAAACAAACAGGAATTCAATATGGGAGTTATGTTTCCAGGAATTTAATTTAAAGCGTGGTAATGCAATGCATGCCCAACTATGGCCTTATATGACAACAAACATTGGCTTTTATCACACATTCGGAAATCCTTTATCACTTCAGACGATTCAGGTATGTAACTTGTACCTTTTTACAATATTTGAATGTGTTCTTAACGATTTACTCATTCATTTTGGAGGTTATGTTTATATTGTAATTATTGTTTTGCACCTCCTTTTAGCTGTTTTACATTTGTCTGTAATCAAAAGTCTTCGTTTTATTATGTTTCTCCCCCACAGACTGTTATTTCTGTTGTTATCATGTTCATGTGCATTTAAATTAGACATTTATTTTAATTATAGGAATGTGTGAAGCTGTAATGATTTGTGACAATATTGCTAAGCAGTTACCAGTTAACAAATATGATTGCTATCCTTGTGTTGAACAAGATGAAGAGGAAGATGACTTGGATAGCATGGCTCAGTCATTTGATCTTAACTCAGGTCAGTACTCACAACTACAAGTTGATCTTTGATCTATCAAAGCCTGTTGCCAGATAATAGTTAGGTGCTGTCATTGTATCTCAACACAATTGTGAATACTATTAAATTTGTTATATTTAGTTTAAAAGACAAAATGACAGAGAAATGTATTTTTTCTAATATTGTCAGATTGAGAAGGATAGATTTGATGGACAAAAAATATCAGTCCGAAATTCCTTACCGATAGTTGTATAGCCTGCCCTCATGTTAGAGTAAGTACATAAATGTATGTATAGGCTTGAAAATTTTATTATACTTATAGTTAAAGTATAATGATATTATTATGTCTTTTTGTTTGTCATTTAAAGTTTATTTTAGATTATTCATTACTTTGTTTCAAGTATCTTATCCAAAGTTAACTAGTTGTTTTATGGTTATGTTTTATAAATTTATTCTGTTTATAGATCTACAATTCGGGCTAAGGCGTCACAGATCTAACACAGCTCAAAGACTTGAAAAAATGGAAGCAGAGAAAAAAAAGGCAGCTAATACCATTCATGTCAAGTGGATAACAAATCCTGTTCCATTATCAGGTTTTTTGACATTTGTACTAATATACTATTATTGAATATGGACTGAAATTTGTGTATTACATACTTTTGTATTTTAACTTAATTTGACTCTTCTTTTATTTAGAGAGGTTCAAATTTGATTGTCCTCTTAGTTATAAGAAGACTTATACACTAAGTAGCGATAAGGTTTCTTTTTGATTGCTATTAAATGTATCTTATTAAATAATCCGAGAGATTTGAGGTAACTTAATATTTGCAAATCATTAATATAGGTCAGTATCAATTAATATAATATAATAATATATTATATTGTTAATATCAATTGGAAAACTAGCATAGATTCTGTTGTAGAGGTGTTTCTTCTAGAGGCTGACATGAGAAATGATTATAATTATTTTAGACTTAGATTTTATTATTTATGTTCCGTAGGGATAAGGGTAGCTCAGTAAGTAAGCACTATTAAATGTTGAGTTCCAATGCTCAAGATACCGGGTTAGAATCCAGCTGATGACAAGTAATTTTTCATCAGCCGTGGGATGCCCTTCTGGGATAACCCAGCCTCTATGAAGTGGGTACTTTTAATTAAATAATCAGTTAAGAGGAAAATCTATTGGTTAAGCATGGATCCGGGCCAATCATTTCATTGCACAGTCGTTGGCCTTAAAAACAGTACTCCTTATAAGGTAATGAATCCCTTCATGGGTTGTAGTGGTATTTATGGGTTATTTATTTTGGTACTTTTTGTCTAGTGGGCCGCTGACTGCTATCTGCCAATGTTTATAACCTGAACACTGATAACTCCCATAACGCAGTGATAAGCCTTCTCCTACTTCATATCTTTGTATTATTGTATTAAATTTGTATTATTGAAAGTGTTAACAGATACAAAAACAAATGTAATAACAAAAAAAAAAACTTTTATTTGATGACACATATATTAATGAAATAATAAAAAGACACTTTAAGAAGATATGTACATATAAAACATCCAAATGAAATAATAAAAAAACATTTAAAAGAACATAACAAACTGCAGAACCATCCGAATCCTCTCGTTTCAAACCTTGCTTCCTCCTCGATCCCTGATAATCCTCCGAGACGTCTGAAAAGAAGATGACCTCGGGACCTTCTAATATAGAACTTTAATTTGAGGTCTACCAATGGGTAATTTCTCTTCAAGTTGTACATGTCATGTTACCAATGTCACATTTACTTATTGTATTTTCCATGAAATACAGTTGTAAATTTCAATAAAATAAAAAAAGAGAACATATTTACATAGAAAAGAAAAAATATCAACATTATAAACATCATATGTACAAATTATTTTCACTTAATTATTCACTTCCTTTTGTCTTATTTATTTTGGAAGGCAAAATTGTTTTATGCTATTTAAAAATAGCGAGAAACGGGTCCTCTTCTCTGTGAGCCCGCCTGCACAAATATGAATCGAGGTGTTGTCTGGCAGTTCCTCTATCCACTTCCCTGAGCCCCATAATCGTTCTATGTGTTGAGTATGAGCCCCAGTTGATGGATCGACAAAATTATACTGGTGATTCACTTGGAAATGGTCATAGTTTGCTTCGTTCAGTTGTCGGGTGTTGTATCCTTTCAAACAGTCCGAATAAATGGTCGTTCTCCCTCTTCTTTATTTTCTTTAATTGCTTGTAATAAGGTTGTTGCCTTTCTGTTAATTTTTTTGACAATAAAACATTCATCTGTTTCTCGGCAAACTCCACCAAACATCCACTGCTGAGGTAAAACTCTCCCCACATAATTTTTTCGTTTAGTAAAAAGACTTTCGTCTACTTCAACCACTTTTCCAGGTCCTCCAATTTTTGTTCTTGGCCTGTATAACATGTCATGGGCACAAACCTCTCTTAGACATTAGTTCCACGTTACCATAGCTCTGTAGGATAGTTTGCGCCACTTCATCGTTGTCAAGCTATGAGACCACCCATAAATCAATTTTAATGGTGTTAAAAATGAAATCCTCGAGCCCTCCAACCATGTTCCTTTCCTTATTGAAAGTTTTGTGTCACAAGTCTTACGAAAGCATCTCTGTTTGGCCTTCCTGGTTAACTTCATTCGATGACCTCGTTCACACAATTTCACGTCGGCAAGTACCCCAACATTTTGAAAATATTGAATTGCCTGTTCTTCTGAAGACGGCAAATCCCATATTCTAAGAAAATCCATAATATGACGAAAATAAACAGAAAAAAAATGAAAAATAAACACAAAGGGCCAAAAACTAATAAAAAATAAACACAAACGGGCCAAAAGTAAAGAATTTAATAAGGGAATAACTGAAAACTAAACAATGCAATGACTCAAAGGTTTGGCGGGATAAGAAGAGGGAGGTTATGTGATGTTAGATAAGATAGATAAGAAGTGAGGTTTCAAAACGGCCCATTTTCCATGTTTTTTCTCTGATTTTTAGATCTAAATATAAATATAGCTTTATAACATACTGGCATAGAATTAAGGTTTATTGTGTTTATTATTAATATTATTATTTCTTTTTAAATTTCAGCTGAAGCAAGAGCCGAATTATTTCCAAGGAAAGATCTTAAAAATACTAAACGAGAAAAACAGGTATCATTATTGACTGAATTGCTAGCGAAATTTCCAGACATGCCCGAAAACCCCTTTAAGGATTTCGCCAGAATGGATGGAAATGTAATTATTAGTTTTTCAAATTTAATATTATTGATTATTTATTGTAAAATCTTTAATTTTTATCTAATATTTATATGAATCTCATTTAGGCACAAGTTGGAGTATCCACAAAAAGATATTTGATATTCATTACAATGCTTAATGAAAATGATAGGAGATATCCAATGGAAGTTGTGATAATATCGTCTGCCAAGATCTTAGATTTGGTAGGCCTTATTTGTTGGAAATGTTCCATTGAGTATCCAGATGTCCCTCTCAAGTAAGTTTGCCCATAGCTTATTTTTTAATTTTTGTAAATAATGTTTAATTTATTTATTTTTTTTAATAATCATTAATAACTTTGAAAGTCCATTTTAATGGCTTTTTTTTTAGTGATGATCGTGTAATTGACCATCATCTTTATTTGACATTATTAACTTATAAATTTATTCACTTTCACTCTTTACAAACCATTAATCTCAATTTAATGAATTTATTTTCAGAGATAGTGTGAATCATTATGGGCTGTTTATTGCTGAAGATGATGGTGCTGTGGATTGGGATTTTCCCAGTCTTGATTCAAGAGAAGTAGTGTCGAAATTTGGCTTCACCTATTTGGCTTTGGTTGAAAGGGATCAGGCTGTTCAGCAGGATGAAACCTATCCCCTTTTGTAAGTCTTAATTATATATATATATATATTCCTTCTCGTTATATTCGTGCCAATGAAGGTTTTATCCCTGATGTTTTAGTATTAAGTATAGGACATTCAGTTTGATTAGTTGAAATTACATGACATAAATGATATTTATAGGCATACAGTCTTTTGGGTCTTAAAAACCAATAACATACATATTCTACTTATTTATGTAATTAAATAAATTTTAATTGAAACCAGAATTCATCCATAGTTGGCTCTACTTGTTAATGTAGTTACCGTTAAACCACTGCTGGTAAAGATTTTCAACTTACTATACAAATTTCATATAACACCTTCACTTTAATAGTGTTGAACATATCAAGTTTTGTGCCTATAAATCACGATTTTTGAACAGCATCCGTTTTCTGTTACATTTTAAGAAAACTGCTATAGAATTGCATCGAATGCTTATTGAAGCTTATGGTAAGCATGCTCTTGGTAAATAGTGTTTTGGTTGGTTTAAAAAACTTAAAAGTGGCAATTTTGATATGAGAAATGAAGATCGTGGAAGACTACTGAAAAAGGATGTGATCTATTATTATTATTAGATGGCATTGCGACCCATTTATTGAGTCAAAGCCTGTCCTATTATACATCATTCCTCTCTGTTTCCTGCCACTACCTTCCAGTTCCGGACACCAAGTATGGGACTTGGTCAGACCACTGGGACCTTGCGTCTGTAGCACACTAACAAGACTTCATGTGGAATCTTATTTGGTTCCATCCTGGCAACATGGCCCATCCAACGAAGCCTTAATAACTTTATTGAGGTGCATACATCGACATCTCCATTTACGGTTCTTAATTCAGTATTATTTCTCGTTCTGCGTGTGCCTTGTTCATAAACACCATCATATATTCTCAACACCTTTCTCTCGAATCTAATTAGGACCGGTCGGATAAACGTCTTATAAATTCTTGTTTTTGCGTCCATTCATAATGCATTACTTTTTAACAGTTTTTGGATGGCGAAATATGTTTGGTTTGCTAGGAGTATTTGCCTTAGTATTTCTTCCTCTATATTATTATGAGAGTTCACTTGGGTTCTTAGATAGATAAATGATTGTGCCCTTTTGAATCTATGCTTTCCTAACAGGACATACTCTCATCATTTCCATGTTGAGGTAGAGTGCTTATATATTTCGTCTTTTCTTCATTTATGACGAGTCTTAGTCATTCTGCTTTATGGTCTAGGCTCTCAAAAGCTGTTCTTACTGTGTTGAGAGTCCTTTCAGTTAGGTCTAGGTCATCTACATATCCAAGAATCTTTATTGTTTTATTTATTAAGGTTCTAGTTGTCTAGATACCAGAGTCTCTAATACCTTTCTCCAGAGAGAGGTTGAATACTAGGCAAGCAAGAGTATCTCTTAGTCCAACTCCCGTTCCAATCGAAAATACTCTCAAGAGTTCACTATTCATCCTTATGAAGCTTATGTTGTCCTCCATCGTCATCCTCATAAGACCAACTAATTTTAATTGAATATTTAATGTTTGGCATGCTTCATTGATCATCAAAAAGAAGCTTCTACTTTTTCTACTTAAAGGTCCTATCTTTTTTTTTTTTTTTTTTGGGAGGGTCTTCCTCTTCCTCGCCTTTAAGGCTACACAGGGTTTCCCCGGGCCAGGGAGTGTGGGTAGGGATTTAAAAGACCCCCGGGCACCGGGACGCGAACTCGTGACTATATTTTATCATTGTATCATATATCAGGTTGTCGGGCAAAGGCGGTGCTGTGCCGTTAGCCCATTCAGCCACCTTGCCCTTAAACAAACAAAACAAAGGTCTAATCATTTTTTTTTTATTTTTTTTTGGTCTTCCTTACCTCGCCGTTTAGGCTTGTACTTATTTTTGTCTCTCAAAACTTCATATATCTGGTTGCTGGGCAACTCGCGGTGCTGTGCACACGCTTTAGCCCATTCGGCCACCCTGCCCCCTACAAAGATCCTATATGTATCTGCTGGGGTTTTGTTTTCCCACTGCTGTTTCTTTTGTCTGCGAACATGAGCTTCCCTTCTTCTTCTTCTAGCTCAATATTCCCCTACATAGTGTCTAGTGTGTTTGGATCATCATTTTGTATGCTTTATTTTACTTCCTCACTACCGAAGGTAGGGAAGTATTGTATTCGTGCGATAGGTTAAAAAAAATGATGTGCTCCATTTATGTTGAGGGATTACTGAATTTATGAAAACAGCTTCTCCCAGAGATTTTATTCTCATACGAAAAATGTTAGATCTTGTAAATATAGCTATTTTTTAGCCAATGAAAACGGTGAGGAAGCTATATTGACCTTATTTGGCAGACTTTTTTTCTTTAAGGCCTAGATTCTTTATCAAACTAATGTTTTTTATTTCGATCCCTATTACCTCTCTCGCAGTATCAGTCATTCCTACTTCACACTCTGTCCACTTTTCTTCAAGTGTTGCACTTCTATTAATGCCTTTTATTTTTGGATCAATAGCCTCAGTGAATTTCATTTTGACTCGTTCATCTTAGCTTAAAAGTATAAAAATTGCTTATAGAAGGAATACATTGATATCCTGGTCCTAATCTCAGAAATCGTGAGATAATGGTCCGAATCTATATTGGCTCCTCAGTAAGACCTTGCATTCATCAGTGATGATTTGTGCCTTGTGCTAATGAGCACATGATCGATTTGTGCCTGGTGCTAATGAGCACATGATCGATTTGTGAGGTTGTTACTTGACCATTTACTCCAAACTTCTTCCATGCAGCCAGATATATTATTTTATGGAGAAAACACTATCTGTCAACGGTTAGTCCATTTGAGGTAGGAAAATGTGCTAATCTTGTCCCATTATCATTTGACATATCATGAAGTCCTATTGTGTGTTAATAGGTGTGCTGTGCAAATCTGTGCATTATAGTCTCAAAGTACAACTTGAGACTACAAATCTTTCTGCGTCCTCGTAAAATGAGTCTTTTACATTTTCCTCTTATACTTAAGTGGGAGCATGAACACAAATTAAGGAAATATTGTAAAATTTACCTTTGAGTCAGAGCATGCACAGTCTAGAATTTACTCCCTTGAAAATCAATTACTTGTTGAGCTAGTAACAAAACCTGTATCAAATTTCCCTTTTTGTAGCTATCCTATCCTGTCCACCTGACCTCCTGAATGGCAGTTAAGTCAATTTTATAATTTTCAAAAATGTCGAGAATGTGCTCCAGGTCTGTATAATGTCAAAACGTTCCATGAGGCGATTGAATAGCCCAGTTGACGGTTGCAGGGTTGTTTACTATTGATCAGTCCAGTTAATCTCTTTTGGGCTTTCTTTATATCCGTATATTAAGAAGAATGGTTGTATCAACCCACGCCTCCAGTGTCAAGTGGTGGGGCTACCTTCTCTGAGCATCCTGACATGCTCTCCCATCCAGGGCGGCTGCCTAGGGAAGGTAGCCCTAGCGTGAGTACTGTTTACATTTATTTTCTCTGTGAAAAATAGGTTTGTTTCCTGTCTACTTGGGTTTCTGGTTCATATAATAGTACTTCTGGCTAAGTGCTTTGTCTAGATGTACTTGGGTCTTTCGTGATTGTGTGTTACATATGGCAACTTACGCCAAAGTATAATCTGTACGCAGTCAAAATTCGCCTCCCGATCTAATGATCAGACCTCTGGAATTGTACCTTATATTCACAATTTACTATTGGCTATGGAAAAAGAATTAATGATCACAATTGTGGGTTGATGGTTGACTGTAGTGAATAATGAAGAGAAGGATAGTTAGGGTGATCAGTCAAAATAAAAATGGCAAAAAATAAATAATAATATTTATTTTAACATTTGCCTAATTAGTGATCACATTCATTCTTAGTTATAACCACTTTAATGAAATTATATCACTGAAAAGGCTTTTTATTTTAATTTAAAATTTATACTTACTAAGATGTAATTTCAATATAGTAAATATTATTTAATCACCTATATAATATGTTTTCTTAATCTCTTCTAGGATCGAATCATTATCTCTTCATCATTCTGAACCTGGCCCAAGTTCTACTCGAGGTATCCACTCTATTTATTCAATTTTTTCTCAGCTTATCTTAAAAATATGTTTAATATATAATTATATTTATATATATGCGTACAACTGATTTATTATTTTTTTAGCTCAATTGGAAAATCAGTTAGAAGAGGACATGAACAGAATCCGAGGCCATATAAAAGCCATTGGAGCTCCAGTCTATCAATCTTTCAATGTTTATGTATTGAATAAAGTGAGGGCGAGATCGGAAATTCATTTAGGTGAATTTCTCTCTGTTAAATTAGATATTAGTCCATTATTCCTTTGGTTTTTTAATATATAATTATAACTAGCTTTTCAAAACAAATGATTTTAACTGATTATCATAACAAGAACAACTTGCCCTATTGTTTCCATAGAAACATTGGTAATATGGTCCACGAAGAGTCCTTCAGACTTTTTGGCTTATTAAACTCCTATCTTAATTAACTTTTCAAGATATGTTCACTTTAGAATTTTTTTTCCTTTCTTATTGTCAAAGGTAGAGTAGCTTTTTATTCATGCAGGAAGTAAACAACCATTTTGGTTCTCGTAACCAATACTTTCCACCCTCTTGTATTACATTTTATTGATCAATGAATGAGTTTTGCTTAGTGTCTTTCTGTCTGTAGTCAAATTGATAAGATGTTTTTTTAGATTTGACTCTAAAGTCACCTTCTTATATATTGTGATATCATTAACATTCTGGCTAAATTCAATAGATAAATAAATAAATTATTAAACATTAAATTAATTTTTCCTCTTCTGAATAATGGGAAAATAAATTATTAAACATTAAATTAATTTTTCCTCATGTACCCAAATAAACAGTTAAAAAGCTATATTGATCTAATTGTCACCTTTTTTTTTTTTTTTGTGACAAAATCTGTTTGTAGAATATTCTGCTAATATCATGTCCATTTCAACTTTCTTGACTGATTCTTTTATTAAACTTTCAAAAACTCAATTTCATCCATTCTCTCTTTTATTAATATTTAAAAACTTATTAGATTATTATTAAAGGTGTTTTTAATAAATTTATGGTTTATTTGTCTATGTTAGTTTTTTAGATACTGATTTTTATTATTATTTCTTTACCTTCATAATCCTTTAGAAAATACATAAATAGTGCAATAATAGTCAACTTAGCTTTTCTAATTTTCGAGAAAACAGTGCAAATATTGTTACAATGAGTGAGTGCTTGATTATCCGTTGTTAGTCTATGTTATATGAATAACTGTTATTTGTTTTAGGAATTTCTGGAGAAAAATTGGAAATATTCCCAGTTATACAGCAGAGAGTGAGTGCTAGACTTTGGGGTGGTAAGCAGAAAGCCGAAACTTTTTCCATGGAAGATGTTGTATCATGTGATGTCACAGAACATAAATCTAATAACAGATCTACATTTAGGTAATGTAATAAATAAATGAAAAACAATTATTCTGAGAAAACGTTTCCTAAGAATAATTCGAATTTTCTGATTTTAAGTATATTGCATGGCTTAAAGTTCACTTGACAAATATCTATTAATAATATTTTATAAATTAATATTGCTTACCTAAGCCTGGGTGGTACATAATTTGTAAGTACATTGGTTGACAAGTACATAAATTGTTTTTATATAATCAATAGAAAAAAAAGAACATAAAGCCATAACTGTTCCTAAGGCCCGATTGCACCAACAGTCGTGATTAAAGTTAACATTCTCTGTTTTCTAACTCCTTATGTTAAAACTTAACCAATGTTAGAGTTTGGGTTCAGTTGCTCCAAATAATTTTTAAACCGAGTTACTTTACAAGATGTTAACGTGTGACGAGATTTTAGTTTATTTGATTGATTATTGCTTGTTGATAATTGTAAAGACGATCAAAAAAAGAGTAAAAGCGAGCAATTTTTCTGAAAGTGAAATAAAAAGATTGATAAGATTTAATAAGTCTTCATCTGATGATAAATTTTCTTGAGAAGAATGTTCTTCAGGTGAAATCATATTTGTAGTTGTCTTAAAAAATGTACAAAATAAAAACAGTACACTATTATTCTCAGAAGAAAAAAATATTTGTTTGTTGTTAAAAGTAACCGCATGTAAGATTACACTTTAACGTCATTTAAAGATTTGATCAAGGTCTAACGTTAGGTTAGCTAGTTATGATAACTTAACACGCCGTTAAACCTTAACAACATTGGTGTAATGAAAATTCTGTTTATCAATGTTAAACTAGTCACAATTAGTAAAAATTAAAGTTAAAGTTAAACACTCTGTGCAACCAGGCTTAAATAAACTATGCCCTCGCTCTAACTTAGGTCCAGGATAAATGAAATCTCTCATTTTATATATACCTACCTTACAAGTAGCTTTGAGATATGTGAAAGAAAAATGTGATTTATTTAAGGGCTAGCAGAAAATTTTTATCTAGAAAAACTATCTGTTTTACTCTCTAGTGACTGATTGAAGCTTATTGTACATCATCTAGTACACTGTCTTTAGTCCTTTACTTTCTAGTATTCCTGATTTTTTTTTTTTCCTATTTAGTTTCTGAAACATCTGGAAGTACTCGTTACAATTAAATCAAAGCTGGAACAATATGTTATTTTTTGGAGGGAGGGGGAGAGATAGTGTCACTTCTGTGGCATTTAAAATAAGAGGCTAATTTCTGCATGATTATCTTGCTGTTAAGTTGTGTAGATTCTATAGACAGGATGGCCGAGCGGTCTTACACGCATATAAGACATGCGTTGCCGGGCAACCTGATTAACCGAACATTAAGATTTCAAATCCCAATGCACTTTTAACTCTGGTGTTAATCTCTCCCTTCATCCCTGGCCCAGAAGAAATCATTGTATAGCCGAAAGGTAAGGAAGGGGCAAAAGAGAAAAGCTTTGTAGGCTCTCTTTATCATTGAAATTAGCATTCATTAAGGTAAGGTACGGTGAAGGAGCGTGGTAGCTGAGTGGGTGAGCACTGATTTCCAGAGATCAAGGTCTCAGGTTCGAATCTGTTTGATAAATAGTATTTTTTTATCAGTTGTGAATCGACCTTGGGATCAGGAGACCCTCCTGGGGCACACCTAGCGGGTGCTCATAATTAATTAAGGGGATAAATCTGGCGGGAATTTGGCACAATCATCTCTTTGCACAACCATTGACCTTGTAACAGTAATTCCTCACATGGTAATGAACCCAAGACCTTCAATGGTTTGTGGTGGTACAGGGTTTTTTTTTTTAAGCCCTATGCATTTGAGTACCGGTTGCTGTTTCAAGACTAGTCTGAATCTGAGTAGATTTCAATCTCTTTCCTGATTCTTGCATGAATTTGTTTTGGAACCTGCGTTGGAACTATCCCCTGTTATGATTGTATTTATTACTATTTCTTATCAATTGTTTTTTAAAGGATATTAATTTAATTTTTTTTTTAATCAGTTGTAGAGTAATCTTATGATATGGAATATATCAACATTTTGATTTTAGGTTGGTTTATTGCCAGAAGAAAGGAAGTACTGGTGATGAACTGGGTACCGTTAAACATAGAGATTTCGAATCAGAGACGACTGTCGCCTCGGACATTGTGAAAAAAGTTAATCATATTTTGGAGGTTAGGCAAAGTGACAAGAGGAGAGAATACATTGCCAGTCGTGAAAGGAAGTCGCATCGGAAGAAAAATTTTCATCTCGGCCCCAGATGATTATATGTTACATTTATATCGTATGTACAGGTATATATTTATATATAAGTCATTGTCAGTTTATTAATATTGACAATAACATAACCAAATAATAATATAATCTGAATTCGCCTAATGCTGGTGAAAATCGGATTTCAATTTAAACAAAACAACTAAAACTGTATATATTATGATATTTATTTTTTTAAAAAATATATATAGTTGTTATTATTATTGTTATTCGATTGAAATCAGTTATAATGATAATTGTCCGTTCTTGCTTAAAGATTATTAAAATGTGGTGCTGATGGTAGAGAATAAACAGAAGGTTCCTAAACTAATGTTAATATTGTTTTTTTTTAGTATTTCTTAGTTTATCTTTAATTGTGTTCATATTGTTTTTATCTCTTTATAACATATTAAAGCTCAAATTCCTTGCATTTTTTTCTTAACTATATCATTACATATTGATTTGTTTATACATTATGTAATGGTAAGCTCTGTTATTTAGAAGGGGAAAAAAAGACTGTTTTAATATTAGAATTTGAAGAAAATCGGAAACGAAAAAAGTTTGTAATGGAATAATTTCACACGTTGTATGGCTTTAACCCTTAAAAAGTAGGGATATGTAATTGATCTGTAAAGGTAGTAATGAGGAAATTTTACTTCACAGGTTACCGATGATAAAACTAATCTATGAAAAAAGTTCTAAATTTCCACGATAATTGCTACTGTTGTGGCAGATATTTCACATCAAAGCTTATTTTTATTGAGAATTACAATGGAAAGTTAGGGTGATGTTGATCCTTCTGAAGGAAGATGTGGGGATATATTTATTATGAATGGAAGTAAACTTCTTTCATGCTACCTTTCCAGGGTTAATTTTTTTATTTATGTAATCTTAATTTAACTATTTTTCTTTCGTATATCAGAATTTCTATGATTTTTAGCTAGTTAACTGCTCGTGCTTTAATATTATTGAATCATCTCATTGAAAAGTTATTCTTTACTTGAAAAGGTATTAAATAAAAATGTAGTTTTTTCTTTACCATTGGTATTCACACATGAGGGACCAGAGGAATAGAATAACCTCTTGATTAGAAAAAGAGAAACCAAGAAAGTTTTACAGACTTCTCTTGATAAAAATTCCAATGTTAATCATTGTTCATTAATCAATGAACCTAATTATCAGTATCTAATACTTCATTATATTTTTATTGAATAAAAGTTTTCCAGACATTTCAAGTTTGATGAAAGCCTTTGGTAGTAGAATATGTTAACACATTCTGTTTGATATACTTTTTTAAATTTTATTGTTGGACTACTGATTAGTAGCTGTTTGGGAACTCAGTTTAAATTAAATTTGGGTATGGCTTATAATATAAAAAAAAAACTTAGTTGTAAAAATTCATATAAAATAACAAATGTTTATTTTATAATATTCTCAAAATTTGAATGAAACCAAGAAGTAAGTAATCGTATAAAGGTGTTTTTCGACCATTTGTTTGGGTTACTTGTAATAGAAGAATTTTTTTTTTTTTTGAAGACTGTATTGTGTCAAAATGTGAGTATTATAAATTTTGAAGTTTTAAATATTTAAATTTATCCAAATTAGTCATTGTTCACATATCAATATCATAAATGTGAGTTTTGTGTGTTTATAGTTTCTAAAAATGTTACTTAATTGTAAATTGCTCCCGGTTTGAAAGCATCTAAACCTCTTGTTATAAATATATATATATGTATATGTATATATATATTTTTTTGGAAATTCTTGATATTAAATTTTTTAGTGAACTAATATATATATCTTATCTTTTATATATATACACTTTAATAAAATTAATATTATTTATTTTAAATATGGTGTCATGATAAATGTTATGAACACAAATATACCAGTTATAAAAAAAAAAAAAAAAAATAGGTTTATAAAAATTCTCTATATGGTTTCCAAATTGTCCTTGAAATATTTTAATGTTTCTACTTTGATAAATCTTACTCGTATTCATATATTTCACATTAAATTAGTTTTGTTCTAACTGACAGATAATGTCGGTTTTGTACCCGCTTATATCAAACGATTACTATAATGCAACACAATAATTCTTGTCCAATCTGCACCTGATGTTATACTGAGTTATTATTTCTATTAAATTGTGGGGCAACTTATTTTTTAGAGTATGAATAAATAGCCATTTAATCTATTATTTCTCTTACTTTTTATATGATATTAATTACTGATTATATGTATTCAGGTTGAAACGAAATGTGAACTTATTCTCATAAGTAAAATTAAGATTATCCTTTTTAAAATTGAGAAGCCCTTTAGTTTAGCTTTTATTGTCCTCTGTCCCTCAGATCTATATGGCTGTATTAGAACTTTCTTCTGTTGCCACATATTTTGAAATGTATAGTATAATGATTATTTAAAATTGTCAAAAATTCACAGCATAATTAATTACATTGGCCATTTAATAAATATTTGTTTTATATATTAAAAAATGTTTAATAAATATATCCAATGGCTTAAAGTTTTACAATTTTTTAAGCTTTAGTTTATTTATTTTGTTTTATATTATAAAAAAGAATTTTTTTTTTTTCTCCTGAATAGCATTCATTTGAATTGACACATTATTCTCATATTGTTCAATTATATTGCTAAGACGTCCATGTTCTGAATTTTCAGGTCTTTATGTAATGTTGTGAGTAATAACTTGTATATATATATCTATTTAAAAAGCTTAATTAAAAGTTTTGATAATTTTTAAAGTGTTGTATATTTATAATGTAATAGAATTTTTGCCTTACAAGGCTGGACCAATAACATTTTTTTTTTTTTTTAACAAAAAATATAAGGTATAAAATAATTTTAACTATTTATGAAATAAGTTCCTATGATAGTAGGATTGAAAAGACATTATTCTTTCGTCGAAGGCAGCAATGTTTTAATTTTTTTACTGATCATTCTTAGAATTGAGTTTTTGAATGCCCACTATTGAAAACGGTTAAGAATTAAAAAGTTAGTATTGTTTCTTATTAGTAATGGAAATATTTATTTTTATTTGCATGGCTCCTGTTTTTTAGGACATATCATTTCCTATGTCTGGTTATTTGGGTCCTTATGTACTTCGACTAAAACAGGAAGCGCGGGTTATTCTACAGGTTAGCCAACCTATTCTAGCCAGAGTGAGAAGGTCAAGATTCATTCCATGGGTCTGCCATAAAATGGATTTTTCTATGTCATTTTAGCTAATACTGATAAAAAGATTTTTTATTATTATTATTTTTATTTGTTTATTTTTTTTTAATTAAAAGGTCTTAAGAAGATATAAATATAAAAATTCTTCACAAAATGTTTAAATGAATATTTTGAATTAATAGTGAAATATTTTGAGCGCATAGTTTACTCAATGTACTTACGGTTTTCTAAACTTGTACTTAAATATGTGACGATTTATTTTCAGTCCAATTATAAACATTGATTGCTTATAACACAAAAATTCTTAACATTATCTTATTCATTTATTTTATACAGATTTAATTTACAATCAGACACTAGATTAGTAGTAGTAAATCATTCAACAGTTAAGATTTATAATATATATATTTCAAATCCAAAGTATGTGACACGTAAGTTTTTTATTGAGTTACAAAGCCATTTTTTATACTTTTAACATGCTTGGCAGTCTTCACAAGATAAAATATAAATAATTCTTTTCCACGTTTACAGTAAATAAAGTAGTGACAAACTTTAAAAGATAAATAAATGTCATATTTTGTTATCTGTATTGTACAAGAAAAAAAAGAGTTAGTAATATAATTTTTTTCTTTTTAGACTGATAAAATTTGTACATGAATGAAGTAAAAAAAAAAACTATAAAACATGAAAAAATAATTAATTTTTTTTTATAGTTTATGAAAAACAATATTAACCAAAATAGACATATAAAACCAAAATATTAACAATAAATAAAGAATGCTTTTTGCTATATTCTGCAAATCCAATTTTGAAATAATATATGTTTTGATATTCAGTATAATAGTGTTTAACCGGAGATCTTACAACATTAAATAATGCAAATGGTTCAACAATTTGGTTTGTGCTCACAACTGTGAGAAGATCCAAGAATCCTGTTTGTTTTTGAAATTTATTTTTATTACTCCATGGCATTTACTGTTTAGTTCGAATATACTTTAATTGAAACAGAAAAATATATATATATATTTATTTAAAGTTCTTTATATGATTCGAATAAATGCATTTATCTATCTATTTAATAAAATAGAGTATAATCGCATCAATATCCACTAATTTGGAATAAAATATTTGGATAGCTAAAATAAATAAGCAAACTAAATGTGCAATATAACAAATAAAGAAATAAACCCTTCAGAAATATAGTACTAAATAGCTGGTGTCTGCTGGCTCTTGTCTTGCTATAATTGGTACTTATATTTGCTCTATTAATGTACATAAGGTTTACGATAAAATATTCCTAACTAAAATAATATACGCTGCCTCTTAGACAATATAATTTTTTAAACTACGGTCACCTCAACTGTTTCCTACTACTTAACGCAGTAATTGCGTTTACAACAAGGCTGTACTAATTAATTACATTTTTATTTTGCATGCAGTATTGATTATAAAACTGTTATTGGCTCAACCCTTGTTATTGTACAGTATTAGCAATGGTTATTATTGCATAAAAACCTATATGTCAATATAACCATTTATTATAAGATTTCTATATGCCAAAGATATCTTTATGTTAATTTTTTAAATATAGATTTGTGATTCAGTTTTTGTTAACTTGCCAATTTTTTTTATTATTATTTTTATTTTAGTATTTAAATAGTAGTAAACAAAAGTTTCTAAATTGTTCATATATCTTATTAGACCGAAACTATACTTCTAATGTTCCTGACTAGTTATGATTTTCAAACTGCGAATATATATTTATTTATTGTATTACCATTATATAATTAATATATTTAATTTCTATTATTATAGAGTT